AAGATATTCTTCACCTTAGATTGGAAATTTGTATTTGTTGAATGAAGATATTCTTCATGATAGATTGGAAATTTGGGTTTGCTGAAGAATGATATTCTTCATGTTAGATTACCAATTTGAATTTGTTAAATGAAGATATTCTTCATGTTAGATTACCAATTTATATTTGTTATGAAAAGATTGGAAATTTGGATCAAATGAACCATTTTGAATTAAAAATTTTCATTTTTTGTTTGAGCTGCAACGCTAATGGGACAGTTGAAAATATGAAAGTGAAATTGAAACTTTTCCAAAACATCGAAAACTGTTTAAACTACTAATACATGGAGTTTGGGCCGCATAATTTCTCTGGTTTGTGCACAAGAGCGATTTAATTGAGCCTGGGATACATTTGTAAAAAAAAAAAAANTTTTTTTGACAATGTTATTTCAGAAAAAAAATAATTCCTATCACATCGATAATTTTACTTATATTTTATTTTTGGCAAAAATTTGTTTGATCATCATGTTTGCGAATGTTTGTTAGTTTTGCTGTTGGTAGTGATAATTTGATTAAATAATTAAAAAGTCAATGAAATGAAATAAAATAAAATCGAAAAAAAACCAATTTTTTAATGAAAAAAATTCCATATAAATTTAACGAGAAAAGAATACAACACTGGGACAAAAGATGATGACAATTGAATTCATTCAATATAAGCTATGAAATTATTCATGCAAGTTATTCATGGAATCGGTTTTTTTTCTAAAGTTATTTTTCTCATTTAAATGCGAATAATTTTAAAAAATTGGAAAAAAATTTCGTCAAACAATTCAATGGAGCAAATGTTAACATAAGAAAAAATTCCGTTTGAAAAATGATTTTATCGATCAGGGAATTCAAATGTATTTTAGAATTGAATTTCAATAGGTATGTTTCACTGTGCAGCAAAAAAAAAATAATTATTATTCAAAAAAATGACGTAATTATTTTGGATTTTTTTTTTTGTTATCACTAAATTCTCCCAAACAACGTATGTTTGTTAATAAAATGAAAGAAGGCAAAAAAACAGGCAAATTCCGTTATAGTCGTCAAGATGCAATTATTTTTTTCGTAATAAAGAAATAAAAATTTGAAAATTTGTTATATAATATCGTAATTGTAGTAGTAGCTTGATAACGAAGCGATAGTATTATGGTAGTTTAGAAGGTGTTGTAGCAGCAGCAACAAAATAACCGCCAACCGTAATAAGTTATCTTATAATTTATGATGATTTGTCGTTATTATAATTAAAATATAAGATAAGATATTACGATTAGCAGTTATCAGTATAATTGTGAACAATAATCAAATATTTGTTTCTTTACATTTGCTTGTTTTCCCGTTCTTCATATTGTTGAATAATGATTATTATTTGCAACATGCAATCATTACATAATGAGTTGAACTACATTCAAAAGAAAAATATTTTTCAAATTCATGCAAAATTTATTTTAAAATGAATTCTTGTGAACTTTGGTTTTAGTTGAATGAAACCTGGACAACCAACTACTACTGTTATTCATTTATCATGTGAATTTTTGTTAAACTTTAATTTTTATTTTCATTTTTTAAGTATTGGTAGAAAGAAAAAGAATAAAGCTTGATTCCCAAATGATTATTATTATTATTATCATTTTTTTTCTCCATTAAACATGGCCATTTTAATAAAAAAGAGATAAAAGAAAAAAAAGTAAACAAGTGAATGTTACAGAAAAAAATTGATAGAAAGGAAAATTTAAAAATTGAAAAGCTTCCGATCATCAAATTATTCGGATGATGATGATGATTCGACCATCAGACATATAAATATAGTAGTCAGATGAATGAAATGGAAACCAAACAATATTTTTCCTGATGGTTTGATTCAGGAAAAAGAAAGACGACTGGAATCCCAACGGATCAACTCAATATGTTGTTGTTGTTGATGTTTGTTCAAGAATGTATTTATTGTCAAATTTTGTCAGATAAAGAATTTTCGTTTTCAACTTTTTTTTCGTTTGTTCACATACATACACGAATACTGACCTCACGTATAATCAGATAATATATCCTGATGATAATATTGGTGATAGTGGCATACAACTTATTTGAACAAAAATTTTATTGTTATTTTTTTAGTAAACATTATACAACAGATTCGATATCTGCTGATATAGATGAAGAGTTTTCAATTTTTTTTTATAAATATCAACTTTTATTTTTCCTGAACCATTTTTCAATGTTGTTTGTTTGATATATCCAAAACAAATAACATTGAAATCATCAAGGTTAAAAAAGATGGATTTGATAAATGAATTCTAGAGAAAAAAAATGGACAAAACTTATGTGTTCATGTTTGTGATGGATATTTTTGTTGTTGTTGTTGCTATCCTTGCTTTATTTTGGTATTGGATAAATGAAATTCTCTAATTATCTTTTTTAATATTGCCACATAGATGGACATGATGATTACCAGATCTGATATTTTTTTGTTGCAAATTTTGGCCAGCATGAGTGTGCGGATTCATAACAAATTGAGATTTGTTTTCAAGTTTTTTGTTTCAAAATATATGTAGAGAGAGGTAAATAAACATTTAAAATTATGATCATCGACAATGTTTAACCAGAATAAAAAACAACATTACAGAAAAAAATGATCAATTACTCACAATTAATGTGGAAACACCATCTCTCATGGAATGAAAAAGAACACATCTTTTACATTTTGATTTCATATACATTAGTGTTAGTTTTTTTATGTAATTTTCTTTTTTTGTTGTTGATCAGAACCCGAATGATGTTAATGAATTTAGACTCCGGACATTCATCGTATGAATGGAATTGTATTTGCCGACTGATCAAATATTTATTGAATTGATATTTTTTTTCATTATTCATTCTTTATTCTCTCTCTCTTTTACACTTCATATCACTTTCTTTTTCGACCAATAAACGAAAGAAAAAAATTTTTCTTATTCATCTGTTATTATCGTTTGTTGACAGACATTAGTTGTAAGAAAATATCCATTATCACCATCATTAATGAATTATGTGTGTATTCGAATTAGATAAATCTGTATCAAGGCATTTTGTTTTGAAACAATATTTTATCATTCTATTTATTATCATTTAAATATGAAAATTTCATGATGACCAATGTTTCAAAATACACATAAAATTAATGAACTATTCTTACAGTAAAAAACCATAACTTTGAGATTCATTCAAAAGAACATTTTCATTGAAATATCAGAAAATGTTCCGCTAAAATGAACACCTTGATCATGTTCATTGGTATTTTATATTTGAATAAAAAAAATGATCATTTGTTTTCTTCATCAATGATGAAGAACCAAAAGTCCGTAAGGAAGAAAGAAAAAAAAATTTATTCGATTCACGTACTATAGAAATGAAAATGTTTATATGTGAGATGAACAAATCTAATTTTATTCAAAAAGCAACTATATAAATGAGGAAATTATATTGAAATATATGCAATTGTGTAATATGATTATTTATGATGCAAAGGTTTTTTATCAATTTTTTTTTGTTACAACAATGGCTTCATTTAATAAACCCATACGTACATTGTGTATGGATGAATAATTTTTGAGTTTTGTTTTTTTGGAATTTTGAAAATGTCAAAAAAAATCGAAACAATGAAAAACGACAAACGAACATGAAAAAAGTTTCAAATTTTACACATGATAACGAAAAGAAAAATTCATTCATTCGTTATATGTTTGTTTCAACAAAAAAGAAATATCGAAAACACAGTTCAAATACTCAATCTCAAAATGAGTTCGGAAAAAAATATTGCCTGATGTAAATGAAAATTCCATTTCCATTGAATAATTGATATTAGTTAATTCTAATGAATGAATGAGAATATTCGTTTATTTTGAACAAAATAATGAACTGATTTTAACAATTAATTAATCAACCTTTTTCATTTTTTGTACTTAGAAACCACCATTCATTAGTACAAATGCAAATGAATGATTCATCAAATAAATGTAATAACTCTAATGATTTCTTTTTCATTTGGTTGGAAAACCCTTTTTTCATGATTATTTTTTTTTCTTTTTATTTACAGTGACTCGAATTGAAGGTGATATTCTGTTTTTTTGTGTAAATATGGCTTCCACTAAAGAATGGAATTATAAATCTGTCTCGTAATGATGTAATGAGATTAAAATGAAAAAATGGTGATTATATTTACCTTTAATGAAATCGATCGATTGCTCAAGACCATAGGTGTCTTTATCACAATCATCAAGTATGTAGGCACCCAATGTAATACCAGGTAAAATATTTGGCTGTGAATTGACATAATCGATTGTATGTAACATAGCTTCTAATGCTTGTATACCACCTTGTGGCATGATTGGTCCACAAATTTTTTGATCTTCACGTTCATGTACCATCATTAGACCACCTAATGTAATATTACCATGTACTTCGGCGACTTTTTTCACTGGCCATGTTATGTTTGGATGATGATCCGATGATGCATAACGTAATGGACGTATATTTTTTTTCATTGTAAATGCATAATTATTATGATCATTCCATTGATCATGATCATCAATATAAAAATGAGATTTTGAGTTCCGGTTTAATAGATCAACTTCATTATTGTTAATAACATCAAACAGATGATTTTTGGTCCATGATGATGATGATGATAATGGTAGTGAAAATGAATGTTGAAATTCGATCTCTTCACTACTTAAACTATTACTGCTGCTGCCAATGCTCTCGTCGGATATATCATTGCTATCCATAGAAAATAGATCACTTTGTTTTTTCATTGAATCATCATTTTCATCAATTTGATATGATTTAAACGATGATAACTCTGAAGATGGCAATGTTTTAGGAAAATTTTGTTCAATTTCAACATCTGAACTATCAAATGAATTGTCACTAAAATGATCATGTGAATTTATGCTAACCAACACACTACTAAATGGAATTGGACTTGGTATTGGTTTATCATTATTAATTAGGCGAAAATTTTTTATTGTTTCTAGAAATTTTTCATCATCATTTGCAGTCATATTGGTGAATGTTTGTTGATGTTGAATTTTATGATGATTATGATGTGAATGAATACGATGATGATTATGAATTTGTGCATGTTTGATTTGATTTCGATTAATTTTATTTAATGAATAATGATCATCTTGATTGTCATTATTATCATTATTATTAACATTATCATCAATATTATTTGGTTGTTGTTGTTGTTTCGAGAATTTGAAACGTTGTGGTTGATAATCATCATAAATGAATGTCGGACCAATGGTAATCGATTTATGAGATGATGAATGATGATGATGATTATTATTATTATCATTAATTTGTTCACTAACAAAATCATTATTTTCTTCAAAATTAACATCATCATAATTGAATGTTGTTATCGAAATGATTTCAGTCACGGCATCTGATGGTTTTTGATGATTAATTTTATCTACCAAAACTGATGATACACCATTGTTATATGCATGAAACAGAATTGTAGTCAACACTGTTGTAGTTTTTGTAGCCATTCTGGTTGATTTAAATGGCAATGATGGTGATGATAAACAAAACATAATAATCAAAAATGTAAACAAAATACGAAAATTTAAAATGGCAGCAAAATTTCGATAACAATAATGATGATCACTAATGATGGTAGTAGGCGGTTTAGTTGAAAATTTTTTTCTCATTCGAAAAACGTGACGATTCAATAATGTAATCATGTTATTTATCTTATTTTTTATTTCTTGACTATTGAATTTTGACCATATTCGATATATCTTCGGAAAATTATGTTGTTGTTGTTGTAGCCAATTACTTTTGAGATCGAATAAAAATGCAAAAGTTTTCCACTCCAAGTTATCGACAATAGTTTGTGAAAAAGCAACAATAATAACAATGAAGCGAATAAAATGATCATTAAAATATTTAAATTGTAAATGATCACCATTATTATCATTATTCTGGTCAAGTATTTTATTTTGTGTTGGTTTGGAAAAATTTGCAAATTCAATCTTTTCTGAACAGTTTTTTTGTTTCAAATTTTGTTTCTCACATATTTTATAATGATTATTACAACGATGACCATTACTATAATAATACCTATTGGTTTTTATCATTAATTTTTTGTTTTTAAGATCATTATAAAAATATTTTTTATTTATTGATTTTTTTCTTCTTCGTTTTTTCCTTCTAAAACTAATATCATTAATAGTAATGGCTGAAGTAGTAGAATCCGTATCATATAAAATCCGATCATTATCATCATTGTTTGCACTCATTGTATTGGTTAAGATGACAAAACCATACATCGATGATGATGATGTTGGTAATTTATTCAAAATTGGCGATCGATTTTTAGATTTCATTTTTTGAGCAACAAAAAAAATTTGATGTTTTTTTTTTGATTTCTAAAAAATCCCTCAATAATAATTTTGAATACGGATTATGAGCTAAATCTATAACTAACTGTGTATGTGTGTTTTGAAACGAACAAAGTGAAAATAAAATAAAATTTTATTATTACTTTGCTGACAATGATACATATAATGATTATGTGAAGAAAAGTGCCATCATTATTAGGATCATCATATATATTCATTCAAATTTATTTGTCGTTTCAAATTGATATAAGAAAAAGATTTTTTTTCTGGTTATCAATCGTTTTTTAATGATTGTCAAAATATCGATCATCATCATCATCATAAGGTTGCTGTTAAAACACTATAGTAGAACAATTGTGAAAATATTATTTTTTTTATTTGAAGAATGAAGAAAGGGAAAGAGGAAGAAACAAATATAATGATGACTTATAAACGATTCTGTTCCTCTTCAAAATCAATAAATGAAAAAAAATCGTTGTTTGAACAAAATATGAACAAAACAATGCTGAAATTGCACATATATAGATAATAAAAAATGAAAAATAAAACGACGATGATGTTCATTCGCAAACAAATGATAAAAAAATGAAAGCAAATAAAAAAAATGGTGATTCATTCTATTTGACAAATTCGATCAGTGACCATTGGAACCATCATCGCCATGATATTGGTGATCGATGATTTTTCATAATAATAATTCCTCTAATCATAATAATGTTTAATGTTCATCATGAACACAACAATTTGAATGATAATGATAATGATCGCATGTATATTCACTGATAGGTGGTGATTCAAATTGATTTTGGATGAATGAAATTATTGAATATCAGGAAACGAAAAAAACACGTATTTAAATGTGTCAACAAACAAAAAATTGTACATTTATAAACGAACACACACGCAAACACAAAAGAATTTGATTAACTTTATTATTGCTTTGGAATGAAATTTCTCTTTTTTTTTGTGTGTGTGAGTCTTTGTTGAATTTTTCTTTTGAAAGTTTTTGTTGTTGTTGTCATCGTACGTGAATCTAATTTTAAAAATTGATCACACACACATATACACCCACAGGAAAAGTTCCAAAACTGGATAAAGATTTGGATATTGGATTTCTGTATACAATAATTTATGTTTACAATGTCCGAAAAAAATAATAATAATTTTTCATATTGTGATCGATACATATTCTACTTTTTTTATGTTGAAAATAGGTTGCGGTTGAATTCTTTTTTTTCACCATGATACAAGCAAAAAGAGAAAAATTCTTCATTTGAATGAAGAAAAATTCCATTATGAACATTGTAGGACGACGTTCAACATTCGAATGAATGTGTAGAACTATTTTCATTTTATCATTGATGGAATTTCACACATATACGCACAAACCGAAACCAGACCAAATCTGTTTCAATTAGAGCAAACGCAGAACAAATGAAAAACGGCGCCAATTTTTTTTTTGATAGAATTTCGTGTGATTCACATATCTAGAAGTGCGCGCACAAAAGTTGATTAAATCCTGTATGCACAAAAACCCTGTCGATTTTTGAGATAAAAATAATCCAAACTTTTGAAACAATTGCCGACGTTTAGCATCAAATTATTTTTTTCAGTATTTAATGATTGGATAGTAGACAAAATTGCCGGGAGTATATTGAGTCCACAAAAAATACTGATTGAATATTCAAACCTCAATATAAAAATCAATATTATGGACATTATTGAACGGAAATAAAACGATTATGAAAAATAATATCTAAAAACAAAAAATAAAAATTAAACGTTCATGATTTAAAGTTGCCATTGCGATTGTGCCCAAAAAATTCAATAGTTTTCTATATTATAAAATGTATATGCTGCATATATTTCATGTCATTCATACAATTCACTTGATTCGACCATTTTAGTCAGACAATTATTATTATTATTATTATTATTAGTAGAAAATAAATTAGTATGCAAAAAAAACTTTCCTAATACTTTCCAGCTATTTATGGTTTTGTTTCCGTCAAAAATGATCAAAAAATGTGAACGAAATATTTTTTCTGTTGAAAAATTATTCCTTCATAATAAATGAAATATTGAAAATAATACTGCCTAACCTGAATGAATTTCTTTCTGTAATATGATAAATGGTTTTTTAAATGAGGTGAATCATTAGCGTAGATATTATTTTACCAGAACTCTGTTTGATTATTTTTAAAAAATGATAATTTCTATGTCATTATTCTGTATTTGTTACAATTTTAAAGAAATTTGAATTAATTAATCCTATTGAGAAAAAAAAATGAAAAACAGTCATGCATTGCCGTCATTTATCAATTCCGAGAATTGAATCTACTTCAATTTCAATGCATAAATGTTTCCGTTATAGCTATTTTAAATTTATTCCAACAAAATTATGAAAAAAAAAATTTGAATTCAAATCTTCTTAAATTGTTTGCGCTTGGATGACAAAATACAGAAACTGATTCCAATCAACAGCCGAAAGGCAATGGACAGAAAAAAAGTTGGCTTCACTGCCATAATTCAAAACAAACAACTTTAGTAGCAATAAAAGAATTTTTTTTCATTAATAAAAAGATAATCAGATCAATATTACATTGAAAGAAAAAAGGAAATGTATTCTTGAAAAAAAGAATGAAAACCATGAATGAAAGTTCTAAATCGTGTCTAATCAATAAACTTTTCTGAATCGATTATATACAACATGTATCAGAATGAATAAATGAATAATCAACCAATATAATGCTTTCATAAACTAAATCCATATCGATATAATGGCTACACAAACGATATTTACAAAATGAATAGAAAGGAAATTGCACATAGCGATAAATAATCGTTTCATATAGCGAAAGCAAAAAAAAGAAACATCAAAACCGCTGATAAGAATATTGATGAATGAATGTGTTTCATCATAAATCAAATCAAATCATCTTTAAGAATAGAAAAAATATGACTGAAATATTAAATGAAAAAAAATGAGCAGCTAAACATATATAAAATATAATGACTCCTCATAATTATTTTCATGATAATAGTTTCCACATTGGTCTACAATAAAAAGAAGAGATTAAAACTAGTTACATAAATGGTTTTTTTACTGTTTTTGATTTTCTCACATTTTTTCAAAATATTTTATTTCAAATAATGTAACATTAATTTAGACAAAATGTCAAAATGTATAATAGATAAAAATCAATTACATAAATTATTTGGATCCTGGCCAGTAGAATATAACCATAATTGTATTATTTAATCTGAAATCGAATCTTTGTTTATTTTTCTTCGGTTCAAATATATTTTTTTCCATAAATCAATCGTCAGCAATAAACAAATAGTTATCATCATCAATATTGAATGATATTTCATTGAAAATATATTGGAAGAATAGAAAGAAAAGAAAATAATACAAAGCAAAGAAAAAATCGGGTCACATTAGTATTTTCTATTTACATTCAATTACCTTATATTAGTTTGTATGCATTCTTGATAAATAATTTCAATATGGACATTCTCATTGATTTATTCAATTATTTGTTTTATAATATTATTGAACTTATTACTTTTATGCTAAAGTGTATTTTTTAGCTATAAATTTTGGTATATTTCTTGGAAAAATTTTCAGTACATTTTCAGTTCAATGTCTAAACACATGATTATTTCTTATGTGTTGTTTCAAATTATGTTTTAATTCTAACTGCAAGTAAATTTTTATTATTACTTTATTAATAGAACAAAATGGGAAACAAACAACTATATGATGAATCAGCTATACATAACAATCATTTGTTTATCAGTTACATAATTTTGATAACATTGGCCTGTATAATTCAAATTACATTTCAAAAAATTAAAATCAATCGTTATATTCACTGGATTCCAGAACCTTGGTATGAATGAATGATTTTTTCTTACATTATTTTTCGATTTGTGTAACATGAAACTTTAGATAAAATAAAACTTTTTTGCTCAGTTTTCATATCTTTGAAAGCAATAATGATAATATCTCATAGAACTAGCAAATCAAACCTTATCATTGAAGTGGAAAATCTAACTTGAACTTATTTTTTTTACTTCTTAATTTGTAGTGTTTTTATCGTTGCAGGCTGTATGATGGAACAATTTTTAAGGTAAATTGAATAATTTTTCCAATGAAAAATACATTACAAAAAAAAGTAGCAAAGAAGTGCACATTATTATTGATGAATTTGATTTCAAATTGAATTATTTGTAAAATTTGATTCTTTTTTTCAATTAGTTTTTTCATTTGAATGAAGGAATGGATAGAAAAATAATAACTAAACCTCATGATTTTTATAACAAATAGAGTGAATTTTGGAATTGAAAATTTCATCATCATTCTATATTGATATTTTGGAATGTAAATGTTTTACTTTTATTTATGTTTTATATTTTTCAAATTAACTTTGATGAATCTAATAGAATTTTTGATGATGAATTTCTCTTCAATATCTATAACTAAGATTGAATTCCTCAGAAAAATGATCATTCTAATTTTATGTATTGTAATGTCAATTGAATTTAAAAGCAAAAAAAACGAGAAAAGCATTGATACCTTAAATAACTATGACAGTTTTTTTAAAAAGAAGAATGCTATCGATACAGTTCAATAATTGAAATTATTAATGGAATTTGAAGCCGATTCTTTTGAAGAGAATGACATGCCTGTCAAAGTAATTTTTTTTGACAACAATCAAATTTTTATGGTTAAATGATTTTAAAAGATTTTAGATGGTACTTATGTGTATAGGAAAAATGAAAAATTTTGCATTTAAAATTTTTAATGAATTAGAATTCTCATATTTGAGGCTTATCAGATAAATTTTTCTGAATAATATTATGTATGGATATGAGGCATACAATCATTTTATAGCATCAATAAAATCAATTTCATCTATCTTACCTCTTTCACCAGATGTTTTTCCTTGAATTTTTTTTTCAATTCTGACATCCCATAGAACATAAATCTATTCTATTCTATTCTATCCCATAGAAAATTTATCTATCACAATGATATATAAGATTTCATTTTTCCAATCATTTTTTTTGTTTGTTTGATACCTGCATATTTGAACAGTTCAACAAATTTACAACATTGGAAGCCTATTTTTACTGCTGAATTATTCTTCAATGTATTATTACCACCGTATGTGAAATAAAATACATCATACATCTTTATCAGGAATCAGTAAATGAAAAGGATTTTAGAATAATAGAAAAAAGAAAATAACACAATAAGAAATTGAAGGAAGTGTAGCATAACGAAGAATGAATGAATTCAAAACAACAACAAAAAAAAATTGGAAAATGTGATTGATACTTTTAGAAAGTGTACAAATTTTATTCACGTATTTTCTGGGAAAAAATAAATTTCCTTTATATTACATGCAAAAGTTGATAGAAAGGAAGAAGAAGAAAGGAGATAAATATCAATCAAAAAGATAGATAAATCGTAAATTGATTTGGCAGAATTTTCTAAATAGGATTCTATTCAAACCGTTAATACATCAACAAAATTTATCCAACCTTATATGATATGCTTGGGTAAAATATAATTAAATTTTAGTTTAATGCGCAAGAATAATTGCAAAATTTTATAATAAGCAACATAATTTTTATCATCATAGATAGTGATTCAAAATTCAACAACAATTTTTTTTCATCATTAATCAAGAATCATTTTAGAATCTGCATTTTCACTAAAGCATCCACAATTCTATCGAAATTTATTGCCTATTCTACTGTATGCAATCATTGTAAGCATTTTTAATTATTTTTACATTCAAAAAAAGAAAATAATTTTAATCCTAATATAATTCTTTAAAAGGGTACTTTGATCAATATCATATTGATTGGCATGTCATTATATGCTGTCATGAACATCAATAACGATCCAACATTATCATCGATTTCTGTGTTAGAAATGATGATCTTCTCAACATCAATCAGTGCCATCGATCCTGTTTGTGTATGTTATCAGTGAAATTTTCAATAAAAATTTTTTGTATGCAAAAATGTAAATAAAATCAAGAACAAAAATCCATCATCGATTGATGAATAGCAGTAATTGCTAATTGATTTAAAACAATTCGTCAGTTATCTCATTATTCGATAACTAATACTATTTTTCTTCATATGCACTTGTACACGAAGAACAATAGTCTTTATATTTTTGTATTGAAAACTGAATTGTAGGCATACGTTGTTATTATTCTTAATATTTTTTAGTGTCTGTATTGAATAAAATAAAATTTACATTCAGGAAAAAAATTCGCATATTGCCAGAATTTAATTCAATTTTTTTGGCATTCGATACGAGTAAGCTATACTAAGTTCAATATTTATATTCTAAGAACAAAAAAAAGATAGTGTTGATAAAAATATGTCAAAAACACCCACACACACAGGCTCAATTAATCATCGTCATCATCATGATCATAAGAAGACAGAATAATTGCCCATCGAAAAAAAATGAGAAAAGGCTTCAAAGAAATTAAAAAAAAAACAAAAACTTTTTAATCATATCATCTTTAATTTTCTATTATGAATGTCGAATTTGATAGGCTAGACTTATAATTTTTCAACTTAAAATCACAAATAAGTAAATCATGATGTAAAAGTTAATTGTTTTTATAATTTTTATCAATGTAATTAGAAAAATCTAGAATATTAATAGAAATTCAATATGATTATACGCATTGCAATTTATTATTAATCAAAATTAATAGAATACTGGTTTATAATTTTGTTTGCGAATCTTTCCAATATTAATTAGTGATTTTTTCATCTTTTTTCTATTAGGTGTTGGCTTTGTTTAAAGATTTCAAAGTGAAAAAATCGCTCTATTATTTGGTTTTTGGTGAATCATTACTTAATGGTATGTATTTTATAATCAACGTTCGTGTGTATGTGTAATTTTCAACAATAAAGTTTCAAATTCCTTTTTTCTTGCTAATCATTTTGCTAAATTTGTATGTTATTATCAATTATGATTAGATGCAGTCGTTATAGTCGTACATGGAATTCTAATTGAAACATTTCGTTCAACTACATCAAGATCATTTTCGACCATCACATTATTTTTAAATGGTTTTATTAAGTTTGTTGTTGTCAGTTTCGGTAGCCTTTTTATTGGTCTATTTCATGGAATTTTTTCGACAATATTAACAATAATTGCCAGTAAAAACAGAAATGGCCATTATCAAGGTTTGCAAAGACATTTTGTCATGATGCTCTTGACAACAACAACAAAAAAAGTTAACTTTCGAATAACCACTTGATATTTTTCGAAATTTTTTTGACCTTTCTCGCATACAACAGAAATTGAACCGATCTTGATGATCATATTGTCCTATGGTTCCTATATGATTGCCGAACTAATCGGATGGTCAGGTGTCTTAAGCATTATTGCATGTGGTCTGGTATATGAAGTTTTTCCGTTGACATTATATAAACTTTTTTCAATTGATTTTTTTTCTTTTTTGTTTCAAATGTTGACAATGTAATTTCATGTCATTCATATTCTGGGCGTTTGAAATGAAAAAAAGTTTCAAACAGAATTTGCTCTGGCTAATGTATCAATACGGTCTCGAATAACAGTAAAAAGTTCAATCGAAACTTTAAGGTAACATGAATAGATGAGAATTGTTATTTTTTGTCTATTATTTTTTCTTTGTAATATTTATTTACTGTGTGTGAAGCAACTCCGGCCAGGAGCAGTAATAAAGTTCTATTAAAGTAAATATATAAAGTAATATTATTTTTCAATGGATGTATGGATTTATTCGAACAAAATAAGTGACGGAAAGAATGGAAAATAAATGTTGTCATTCATACAGAATGAATATTAAACATGTGTAATATGAACTAAAAGAAACCATCTCATTTCATCTTTTATTTTCTTTTTTTTCTGTTTATCTCATTTATTTATACATAGTTCTATTTGCGATAAAATGATATTCATATTTCTTGGAATGATTTTCATCCGAAATGAACATAATTGGAATTTTATATTTATTTTATATACAATAATATTCTGCATCCTTTATAGATTTATTGGTAAATTATTTATATATTTATTGATTTCAAATGAATGTTTATTGCATTCATAATTATTCATTATGATTATCAATCAAAATAAAAAATAAATGATATTCTATTGATTCGTTTTCATCATACCCATCAGCAATCATTATATTGACTTTTTTCGTCAATCATTATTGGATTAGTCGGTGGTCAAAATTAATGGTTACTCGTTGGATAAAATTTGCCGAACAAATTCTTCTGGTGTGTATAGAAATATTCTTTTTAATTGCAATATATATGAAATACTACAAAATAAAAAATATAACTATTCAAACATGGTAAAATATTCATGTATCAAAGCAAATATATTATTGAAGTTTAGGATAAATCATTTCACATTGACTTTATGACCAATGATAAATTATCATCATTAGAACATAGAATACATTTTATAGCGCTATTTCAATATGTATCATTTAAAAAAATCTAGGTTCATGTTGGACTTCGTGGTGCGATTGCATTCGCTTTGATTTCTTTATCATACCAAAAACAACCAATGAATTATCATAATCAAATTGTATCCGAGCCGATTTTTTTCTGGCAACACAATCGACATTTATTGGCATTTCAATTAATCGATAAATTGATTTTCATGAGAAAAAATCAACTTTGTAGAAATAGTGAAAATATTTTATCTAAAATTTCAATAATTTGGAATAATTATTATCAAAAAATTAATAATGATAGTGATTGTAATGATTTTCAATCCAATACATCATCGATGAACATGTCAACGTATCAGCTATTTCAGACAACAACATTATTCATCATAATATTCACCGTATTCATTATGGTATGAAGAAAAAATGTATGAACGTTTCCTAAGTTATTTAAATAAATTGTAATAAAAAATAGGGTTCTACCACACAACCTTTATTAGCATATTTGAAAATTGTCATCGATAACAAACATAATCGACAGGCTAAATTATCAAAAAAACCATCTTGTTGTTGTCGATTTCAATGTCTACCAAGACAATCAAATGAAAAGTTGTTTGATAGACTTAATAATCAGGTATGTTTATCTTGATGTTTTGCAAAAAAGGTTGTAAATAAAATTATTGTCAATTTTATGCAAACAAATGAAAAAAAAACTTTCGATACGAATATTTACACAAAATCAATTGTAAACAAAACAAAACAAATTGACAACAAATGAACAAACGAAAACAAAACTTTTTTTTTGTTTTGTTAAATTGGTTGTTTAAAATAATAATATTCTGATGTTACAATTGAAAGCTATTTGATGATACAAGTAAGTCAATATTGAGCCTGATAATGACATCAACAACAATTCAAAGTGGCAAAATATCAAAAGGATTTCAAGTAAGTAGGCTTAATTCAGTTATGCATTTTCCAAATATTTTATTGGCATTATTTTCATCGATTTCTATCATCATAGAGTAATATTTGTAAAAAAGGATTCATGTTTGTGTCGTTCACACTTTTATGAAAAAAGCGAATACAAAAATATTAATAGAAATTCTCTCTTCTGGAAAAAAATACATTTTATTAAATATATTTTCACTTTACAATAAAAATCAATAATAATAATTTTAGCAAAGAAATGGTACCTTATAAAGAAATTTATCGCAAATGAAAGACGACATGACTCAATCATCTTTTCTGTAAAGGTTTTTAGTACATCGTTTGGAATATTTTGAAAAAAGACCTGTTTTTTCTTCATAGCTTCTAGCCAGAATTACATTATAATTTATATTCTTAGCTATTCAGTTTGCCGAATTTCGAAATTATATTAAACATTATGTTCGTGAGTGAGTGTCGTAAGATATTACATAGCCTGAAAGAATTCTAATCCCATCAAACAAATATTTTTTTCATCGTTTACGATTGCAAGTAAAAATAAATTTTCATATTTATCTATTTTTGCTATGTAACTTATTGCTCGTTGATATATAATGCTCAAAATAGCAAGCATTTTGTAAACTTTTTGATCCATAACTTGTGATCATAAAAGGTGAAATAATCAAATGTTCATTACGATAAAAGAATCTAATAGTATTCATCTAAGTCGGAGAATTTCGCAAGAATTTTGCGATGATGGTTCCGGTTTCAAAAAAAAAAGATTTTTTCCAAGAAAAGATCATTCCGTTGATTTTTGGTATACATCAATGACACGAAAAGAAATGGCAAAAAAATCAGGGTATTCATTGAAGAGAAGTTTTAATTTACACTTAGAATAAGCAGAATTATATATTAAATGAATGATGGATGTGATTATTTATAGTCAAAATGGTATTGTTATTACATAATGTTTGGTCATAAATTCTCTGATACTAGATAATAAAAACAAAAACAAAATATTTGGAATTGAAATTTTCTTATACATTCAACATTCTAATATCATGAATTATTCAATGTTCAAGCACATTTCAATCTAAATTTTAATGTGTAATTTATTAAAGATGAAACAAACAAAAAAAGAGTTGAAAATGTAGCATGATTCAGATGAAACTGTACATGTAACTTGTTAGACTAGGATTCTAATCTTTTATTTATGAACTTATCATATTTAAAGATAATTTCAGTTATTATTTTTATATATAAAGTTTTATTTAATTGTGTTGTCATTACAGCAAATATTCGAAATGAGACTAAAGAAAAAAAGTTATTTGGTCTGTGTGTGAATAAATAATGAAAAGAATTCTTTGAATTTATGGTCTAGATTTCTATGTACAAAACACGTACAAATTTCATGAAATGATAGAAAATTTAATAATTTGATTTTATTGTATGTTATGTAATTTATAGATTTCTAAATGGTTACAATCAGGATGTCAAAAAATCAAAATTGCTCGTCAACGACAAATCGATTTTTTTGATGATTATGATGATGATGATAATGATGCTGAAAAAATTTCTGATTATTCAGATGAATTCTGCAATGAATTTGATTTCCATCATCCATATACTATGATTATTATCAGTAATGGATATGTTCCATCTAGCAGGTAAGAAAATTTCCCATTTCAATTCATAATTTTATTTCATTTTCAATTTAGAATGATTAATTTATTCTCAAATTTTGAAATCATCAATTTTAATGATAATAGTAATGCTTTGTTGAAAACTGCATCAACAAAACATCTATCTACAAGATTCAAGACAATTTATAAAAAATTATTTTTTAAAAAGGAAAATGAACAAAACTTGTCAACTAGAGAAAATTTATGGTCGTTCAAAGCATTTTTTCTACAGAATGTATCACACTTTCGACAGATGATAGCAAATTTTGGAACAAAAATTGTTCAATTTTTTTTAATTATTAATGAAAAGATAAAAGAAATGGTCAATAATTGTAACTTAAGATCATCATCATCGATTGTTTATCCAGTGACAATCAACATTCGTTTGGAATCAAATGATGGAATTCCGTCTAATGGAAACGGAAATGTTGTTCGAAAAGAACGAGAAAAAGTATCAATAATAGAAATTGATTCCATTCCAACATTATGACCATCTGGTCGATATTTGAGAAAAAAATTATTTGATAAAAAAAACCATAATTCACTCGATTCAGCAAGAAAAAAAACAACAGCCAAAGGTAAAGAAATGAAAAGAATTGATGCTTCATAGGGTAATAATATTAATTTGATTTTATGTAGAACATGTTCATATTGACAAAACATATTAAATTGGAAGACGATAAAAGCAATTTTCTTTGGCGTTCGAATTGAAAAATTAGCCTCATCTTTTTATTTTACGAAAGATATACGCACACACACAAATAAGAACATTCAAACGGATGGAAAACATTGTGGTGAACAGATTTCATTGTACATTAATGATTTTCTAAGAATTCAGCCAAAAAATTCACCAAGAATATAAGCAATTTGAGAATCGATAGTAGTAATAGATATCGATTGAAATTAGTCACAAGAAAATATGACTGAGAAAAGCTACAAACCATACATGTATCACATAGTTTCATATACGAAAAAAAAATCACCGGATAACCTTTATTTCAAGGAAAACATTCGTCAATTTTATTTCTCTTCCTCGATTACACTATAGTAGAAATTTTCGTCTCAAGTAACCAACGATAATGATTATTCTTATTGATTTTTGATGAAAATGGTAGTGACAGAATTTTAAATTCAAAAAATGTAGCTTAAAATCATCATAAAATGGATAGAGAAAATGGAATTTTTATCAGCAATAAATTTTTTATTTTTCTAAAACTGAAACACTTATATAATTTGATCTAAATGTACAAGAAATAAATCAATTTGAAAAGATGTTTTTTAAAAAAATGTTAGAAATGATTTTTTTTGAAAAATGTATTGAAATTTAAATTTTTTTTTTCTTTTTCATAACACTGAAAACAATAACGAATTAAAAATCATCTTGGAATACTTATTTTCTTGAAAAGAGAAAGAAAAATGATAATGACTTTCTCTAGTACATCATTTGTTCAACATAATGTTTGTATGTGATGAAATTTCGATTACAATTCAATATTGTGATGATGAAAAAAAGTTCACATCATTTCGTTTCTCATGATTTCGAAAAGTTTGTTTTTGGCTTTTCAAATTTGATGCTAAATCTGGCCAACCAAATCAGTCCAGCCAATTCATACGAGATAAAAAGAAAAGCCATTGACATAATGGTTCTTTTCTTTTTCTTCTTTTTTTTTGATTCACACTCATCTTACATACATTTACAGAATCCAAAAAATCAACATCATCAGCAACCGAATTCAGCGTAAAGCAATAAAAAAAAGTGATATGAATTGGCACAAAATAACACACACATATGTATAAAAGGAAACGTTTCCATTAATGTTCTAGTCTAAAAAAAAGAAAAGAAAAAACGAAATCGACATACAAATCACCGTTATAAGAATTAGAACAAACATTATTGTCAAACAATTTTTTTCAACTTCTTTATGGCTAAGAATTTCTATCTTTTTTTTTGTGTAAGAAACGTGCATTTCTTATTATCATCAACCAAATCAGCTACACATATACTTGAACACGATTGGCCAAAATGGACGATGGATTTTTGTTGTTTCATACATTTTAATATATATCAAATATTCTCATATGTTTGTGACGTCATGCATTTATCAAATTGTCGAACATAACAAAAAAAAATAAAAAAAAATAAAATAAAATCCAGACACGACAATGAAAAAATACATCGATATACTTCATAAATAACTAGTCAAAATGTATGAAAAATTCATGTTAGTAAATAAGCAAAATGTTAACGTGAACAAAACCAAAGCATAAATATATAGCATTTGATGGTGAAATACGGACAAGGATGGAAAAATTTTATGCTGGTAAAAAATGAAATGAAATATTTTTTGAGATGGAAAAAATCGAATTCGGTCATGTCAAACATCATATCATCAGCAAGCAAGTGATTACAATTTTTTTCGATTATTGATCGATGATGAAATGATTGAAAAAATACGATGTCCGAAATCGGAAGGTAAAAATATTAGAAAAAGAATTTTATCCAATATCTCATTTTTTCTACATTATATTATCATAAAAAACTTTTCGTGCGAATCAAGGAAGATGTTCGTTTAGATTTTCAAAAAAAAAGTTTCGCTAACATTGACATCTTCCTGATAGTTTATCCGTTTCAAACAAATTTAAGAAGGATCATATGACCTTTTTTCAATGCAATACGAATGAACCATTAGTTGAATTTATTTGAAACATATAATTTTTTTATATAAACTTTTATGTCTAATCAATAAGAAACATATTTAGGGATTTTTGCTAAATATAAAATAACGCTAATATCTATTTCCAGTGGCCATTTCCTTATTTATTCACACCCATTTTTGTTTTCTTTATCCAACAAATTAAACGGTTGCAAACTTTCATATCAAATATTGGTTCGATTGTCGACATTCAGAATGTTGGTTACAAATTTTAGGATTCCATTATACCTAATAATGTAACCAAAGTTGATGATGTGAAATCAATATTTCATTCATATAGAAATCGAATTCGTGTCGAAATAATGGCCACTATCTTTGGTACCAAAGAGATTAAATAAAAACCTCAGATGACAATGGATAATGGAACAATGGAGAAAATGTTTAGAAAATAATCGATAAAAACAAATGGTTTATTGAACCGGAATAAATTCTAACATCAATATCGATAATATTTTCGTTAAAGTATTAGTACAAAAATATCCGATGGGAAATCAATGAAATTATTGTAAAATTATTACAAGAAACAAAAAGAAAAAAGAATGAAATCGATTGAATTTCGATTATTGGTTTTTCTCAAATTTCCTTCTATTTGACTTTTCTGATACTGATTATTTTTGAAAACTCATTGAAACAAATTCATTCAAACTTGTGTGTTTTTGTTGGTTTTAATTGTGTATTCACTATGTTCTCAAATGGTCATTCTGATAAATTAGCACAACCGTCTCAGCAACAACAATCCTAAAACAAAAACAAAAAATCATTAGATAAAATAGAATAAAAAAATGAAGGAAAAAGAAATAAAAATAATCAATGAACCATAATAATTAACGATGGCAATATTTTAGCAACGTTGTTACTATGGAATCCATTCTATTTTAATGGTTCAGTTTTTTTCTGGGTGCATTTTTTTATCCCCTTTAAACGAAACAAAAAAAAAATCGACGAATTAACGTAACTGACCATCAAAAAAAAACGTATTATTTTTTTCAATAATGTGATTATATTAGTGTTACATAATTTAATGACTAAAATCATAATATCATAACAATAATTAGATTGTGCGTGTACGGGCTATAGCAATTCATCTTTTCACATTTATTACATTATTATTCTTTTCATTTCGTTTTTGTGTTCATTCTGTGAATCATTAATGTGAATATCACGATGGCCTAGTATGTTGTTCTATTTGTGGAAAAAATGGCATTTTATCAAATGTTACCGAATTATGGTAGGAATTCCTCATGACCAAAAAAAAAAATTGAAAAATGAACCTATTCAATCATCATATTGGAAAATGCCGAAAAAAAGAACTAAACAAAATATATCCGGATTTTGAAATTCATGTAATAATTTGTTTCATTAAAAAAAATCGCCCTGAAACAATAATGATGGCCTCAATAATGATAGAAAAAGCACTATTAAAAAAATTCATTATAATCATTAAAAAACATGATGAACATTTTAACCAATTAGAATGGATGATGATGTTCGAAAAAAAACAAAAAAGTAAAACAAGAAAACTTTTTGATAGCAACATTAACCGTTTATTTTTTGTGATAAAGAGCAAAAGAATTTTTGAGATTTTTGAAAAAATTTTTCCAAGATGTTGGAATTTTTTTCTGCTGACGATTTCAAAAGAAAAAACAATGACAAATGTCATTTTAAAGCAAAACAAAAATCATAAATCAAAAAAGCAGAAAATTCCTATAGTGTTACTAATGTTTTTTTTTTCGTTTTCTTTTCAAAATTTACTATCTTTCATTCACACGAAATAAATTTCGATCATTCGTAAGAATATATAATTGAAAATAAATTTTTTACGCATCATTTATTATATGCAAAATTTGAATTCGACTTAAAAAATGTGATTTGGGTGAGATGATATTGATTTTGAAAATTACAATCTCTATGAAGCCGAATATTTTTCTGAATAAAGTAAAAGAAAAGACACGTACTCGATATACAAATAATGTTTTAGATAATCGAATATTATGGAATTTGATATCTTTTTTTCCATATCATCAAACTATTACTTCATTATTGGATGTTCTGCTGCATCAAATTAAATTTTCTCCTTTTTTTTCTTACGCTTTTTTCGATATGAGTTGTGAAAATTCTATTCCTGTTTAAGTGTTTGTATTCATTTATTTTTGTCATTATCATCTTCATTTTGAATTGGACTTATTAATTTATTCCGTAATATTATTAATAAGTGTCTGATATGTTTAATCTCAATGTCAGAATCATCAACAACATTGACATTATTGAAAACGAATGAATATAAGTGGGTAATTTTTTCCTACTTCTTTACATTTATTTTTGTTCATTCTTTTTGTTGAAATTTTAATCTAGTTATTTATTTAAATGATATTTTCGAATGTATATGATACATGACCGAATTCTTTTGGGACTAAATTAATTGAATGGCTTTTTTTTATTCAATTCAATTCAAAGAAATTTTTTTGTCCTACTATGAAAAGAATGCTTATGTTTGCCATTTCACCTTAATTCAACTATGACAATTTTTTTTCTTGCTCAATCTTTCTTCATCTATATTTTCGCAAAAATAACAATAATAATAATAATGATGATGATGATGATAATGGAGAAAAAAAATAAAAAATAGACTACCATAGATGTATTGTGAATGAAATGAATGAAGGACAAACAGCAAAAATTAAAATGCATTAAAATTCTGTTCAAAAACAATTTTCAATTTAGATGTCCTCATATAAAAAAAAGTTCATTACATGTATATTGTATTATTTAGCTCTATAGGAATTCTCTATGTATATTTCGTTTCTGTTTATTCATCACTTTATTACACATATATGTGAACATTGAACCAAAAAAAAAAATGTCGAAATAAAATAAAAATTCTACAATTCTTTTATTAAAATGATTCCCGAAGAGACATTGAGCATTGAAGTACAATGAACACGATACACAAACAAGAAATGACATAATCTGAAGCAAATAGAACCTAGAGAAAGAAAGAAAAAAAGAATAAATGAATTCATTTTATATTAAATCACCATCATTATATTATCATTTTCATTTGTGTGAATGAAAAAAAAATATAAAAAATAAAGTTAATTAAATTAAGCATTTGTATGATCATTAAATGAACCATCACTTTGGATTGATATTCTTCATTTACATACGAAATACAGTTGTACAACATTGATTGTGAGATTTTCTAATTGACCTTTCAAATTGTGTTGTTATTAATCGAAAAGAATATTTTCTTTTTCTTAATTATTAAATTCAATGAAGAAATTTGAAAATTAAATTAAACATATGCTTTCATACTGTAATTTGTTTATAATCGAATAAATTCAAAAAAGAATTGACTGGCTTTTATAAACGGAAACCTTAATTGACTATTACGGCCATCTTGTGGCTCAACACGAAAACGAAACACAAAGTTACAGCCGCAGAATTTTGGAATAAACAAACAAAATTTTGTTGAATTTTTGGATCTCATTCTCTTTGAAAAAAGAATTGATAAAATTATTTATTTTTTTCAATTAGAATCAAAATGATTATAAATACATTTATATACAGACACAGAATAGACATTCTCTTAGCTGAAATTTCATTACATAAATTTTTTTTTGGCTGAATGTCCATTAATTTTACATGATAATTGAAAATTCAACCAGAAATTTGATAAGCGAAAGAAAAAAATACAAAAAAAATATACAAGGTAATTTCCGAAAAATGAAAAAACATGACAATGTGATGCCTATAATGATAAAATCCATGAAATGAGATATTGCATTTGACATAAATCGAAGTCTTCCGCTTGGTAACTAAAAAAAATTTCATTTTCATTATCATGAATAAAAATCAAATTACAAAAAAAAAATCAGATGAAAATGCTTTTTAGTTATAAAGCCGATTTGTGAAATTTTCAAAATGGCAAAATGGTCAGTTAAATAAACAAATTGAATGAATGAATAAATATTATGATTGACTAATGTTTGACGTAATACACACGTACATAACATACATTCAACAATAGTAACAATGAGATACAGACAATTATAAGCAATAATTCAATTTATATAACGAAATTATTTTCATTATAATGGTGAAGTTTTACTTCGAATAATGACAATGTCTAATGATGATGAATAAAACATTGTGATTATTGCCATCATTATAGATATGAATAATATAATTTGATTCGGTAATGAACGATAGGGTGAAGAGCTAAATATCGGACAATATGGACATTGATAAGAACCACAGACATGACAGACACTCAAATAATATAGATTCTGTGTACTGAACATTGTTTCGTTGAAACGTTCTGTAAAGAAAAAAAATAATAAGAACATGTTCAGAATATTAATAATTATTTACCTGGAGCATAATAATCATATACACGAATCGGAATGTAACGTGTAAGATTTGCAACTGGATACCATCGTTGTACGGTGAATGAAACGCAGGTAAAACTTGTATCAAGCTAGAAAAAAATTAAATTAAAATGAGTCTGGCCAGAAAAATTTCTCCAGAATACTTACAGAATTAAAATAAAAGACAACTTTTCGTTCAAAATATCGGGCTTCTTTCAACTTGTTCTGAATATTAGCACGAACCATTCGATCCAGATCTTGCTGTTGTATAAAATAGCCGGTAGGTACGGTTACTTCTAAAACGGCCATTCCAGATGTTAGACTTTCTTGTGTAAGTATCCATCGTTGACAAGATTTGAATGTAATATGTGAACTATTACGGCCAGTGAATGTAGCTGATACATCTAGATCAAATGATCGTATCGGTGGTTGAATTTGGAATTGTGGCCAATCCACACAATATTCTACGTTCAATTGTACGATAGCTACACCAGATCCTTGAGCTTTGATTGTGACGGCACCGAATGCATTCGGTATGTCAATCGATTGCATTCTTGAAATATTATCTTCGCTTATATGAATCATTGACGAAAAATTATGAGATGTTGGAGCTTCGATAGTTATAGTTATATCGGTAACATCACGTAAACGATCTTTGTTTGAATAATCGATCAATGCTTGAAGTGCGACAATTGTGTCTTCGGTTGTGGACCATCCTGAATCATATAAACGTTGGAAATTGAGCCATTCAACAATCTCTTTCTGTATGAAAGCTTGCCGCTTGATATGGATTAATAATCCATAAGCAGTTGTAGCGACATTTGAGGAATCATATCGATTGGGAAGACGAGGTAGTATAAATGGTCGATTACTTTCGACCTGTGTACGAATAGGAGCTACAGGTTCTTTGCCCCAATAACGCATGCCGCTAACTTCACGCATTCGTAAGTAAAGATGATTAAACCCTTCAACAGCTTCGACTGATTCGACCAATGTTAAGGCATAGGTTACAACGGCAAGTTCATACGGATCTTCATAATCTTTTACCATGTGTAAAGCTCTTTCAAGAAATCGTTGTGCTGAAGTTCGTGCACTTGTAGCTTTTGAATCAACTTCACCACTTAAATCACGAACTTCGGCCAACGTGATTAAAACATGAGCTGTCAACGATATGCTTGAAGTCATATTGGTCCGACGATTTAACGGACTTTGCATTGGATATTCAACAAATGATCCATCAACTTGTTGTTGTTTTAACAACCAAACGATAGCATTCTGTATGACTTTTGGATCGATATAAAGAAAATTTTCCCATTCTTGAAACGTTGAAAGATGTAAAATCCGAGCAGAGAATGCAGTCATCCACACTGACGGTGTTTGATGCCATCTAAAAGCTCGAAATGAGCCATCGGAATTCTGGTAACTTAATTGACGTTGATAATCAATATTCAAATATCGAAAAACTTCTTTCTCAATGTCTGGCTTCCTTTGGCCGGTGTAACGAAGATAAAGCAATGTGTATACGTTAACAGCAAAGCTAAACATTGAAGGTTCTGATGCGTCGAATGGTTTTCGTAACATAGAGGTAGCATTCATAGGAATCGTTGGAAAAGAAGGACCAATGACATCACCTACAACGGTGACTTTTGCACGATTCGAACCAAAAACATAACGTCGTTCTTTTCGATAAGGGATAATTGGACTTTCCGTGACATTCGTTTCGAGATATTTAATCAAGTAGGCACCTTGTGATAAATCAAGAACGACTGATGTATGTATCATTTGTGGTATCCCATCAGGTTCAACATGAATTGTTTTAGTAACAATATCTTTGGCTACTTGAGTTTTGGCCATGACAGTAACATTGATATCTCCGATTCTTGTGGCGACAATAGGCATGTAAACAACTTTGGTTCGACTAGGATAAATCATGATCAAATGTTGGTGTTGTCCAAACGAAGTGCGTGGATTATATGATTGAACTCTACCAAGCGATTCGACGTGAACGAATTTGTAATCGGGAGATCGAGCTAGAATAACAACTACTTCAATTTCATAAGGAAGATAATTGAAAATGCTGATACGAATCCCAATTTGTTCTCCAAGTAAACAAGTCGAAGGCATTTCGACATTCATGTAAAATGGACGAACACTTGAATACTTTAGTTTGGAACGTTGAATACCAAATCCATGGGATTTGCTCATTCCGAAAGCTGATATGATCCAATTGACCGGAGCGTTTGGTACAGGAACTTTGAATATATGATAGCCAAGTGGACCAATAAAAACATCTTTCCATAACCAGCTATTGTCATATAATCGTTGTAAACGATTTGTTCTCGTCATACGGAAATGAGCAAAGTTATATTGATCGTTATCATGACCTTTTTTTAAAAAAATGATTACAATCACAGAATACTACAAAGATAAATCAAACGTACAGAGGCCTTCGTCACTACCATCACGACAATCAGAACGACCATCGCATTTTTTAGAAAAATGATAACATCCACCATCCATACAGCTTAGCAATCCACGAGTTCGATTACATGTTTCTGGTCGAAGAACTAGATTAGCATCGGTAAACACAACAAGACCTGCATGCTGTTATGAAAAGCATTAGTAGAAAGTTAGTTTTTTAAAATAATCAATCATTTACTCATGATATACCTCAAATGTTCGATTAGTATCGATACCAAGTGTGGGTGATGGAAAATAGAAAAATCGATCGAGAATTCCATAACGTGAATACCAGCTAAAGCTAAGAGATGCATTATTCAATGGTAAAATATCATCAAAGCTGATCATTTTTTGTTGAACGTGTGCATAACTAAGTTGATTGTCGGCATCGATACCAAAAAGATCTTTATCCAACGCCGATAGACCAATATATGAGCCAGGTTGTGCAAAAACCACCACCTCAATCGTATCACCAGTTTTGTCTTTTCGATTATTCAATACAACAGTAAAGTTGTTTCGAGAAATGCCATCAACAGGAAATGTCAATGAATCAGCAATAACTTCACCGCCGGGTGCAACATCATATACAACAATTGTAGCACTTGGAGCCATTTCCGATGAAACAGTAAAGGTAAATGTTTTTAGCATTGAGTTCATCTCTTCACGACCAGCAACTAGAATGATTCCTTTTGAAATGACTAAATAATTGAACAGGTTCACATAGTAATTTGTTCGAACATGAAAAATTATATATTGGCCCACACTAGGTTTTATTGTGCTTGTTGATATCTGAATTAATCGATTATTTGGAGCATAATTAGCATATACACGCAATTCAGATGATTTAACTGTTGAACCATAAACATCTTTGAAAAATGCTTGTAACGATAATGAATCGACATTATTAATGGCCGTCATATCATTGTTTAGAAGATTTCGCAAATTGACTTTTATTTCCCATAAACCGTATTCATTTTTTGACATAGGAACTTCTTCTTTGAAAGATCCTAGTATTCCGCCTCTTGAATGTACACGTGTATGTACTTCAATTCGATCAGTATAAAGATAATCGCGATGTATGGGTGAACCATCAGAATGCGATAATACGGCATATGTTTTAAAAGGCATTGGAGGTTTAAAAGTTTGTGGACTTGGTCCCAAAAATTTCAGACGAATTTTCGAATTAAATATATAGGCTTTTGCATAACCAGAATGAATAAGATTAAGGAAGCGTTCACCGACATAGGCAGTAACAGTAAGCATAGCGCCATCAACGGGTGCACCTTTTGATAACTGAGTGACAATTTCTGACATTGGCAAACGAAATTCATAATATCCATCAAACTATTAAAATTATTTGAAAAAAGTTTCAGTTATGAAAAAAATTATAAACAATAATAAGCATACATATCGCTCGGTTGTTTCAATAGCAGGTCGATCAAAATAATTTATATTGGCTCGATTATTATTATATGTAGTTGATGGAGACAATGAAGAAAAGGAAGTAGATGCTAATTGCAATGTATATACAATGGTCAAATTACCGATAACTGGTACACCGCTAGTAAAACTAAGTGAATAATAATAAAAAACAGTTTAATTATGCCGACATGATTGTGGTCAATGAACAATGATTCGAATAATACTTACTTGGCCATTACTGAACCACGGATGTAGGCGTCAGTATCCTGAAAGAAAGCAGACATGGAAACATTTACTTCGAAACGAGTTTGATCTGTCATCAATTAAAATCATGTAGGTAAAAAAACGCATCGAATCGATTAGAAAGAAGAATAGAAAAAGACCAATTGGTCATTTCATAATCACAATCAATATTAATGTACATACAGAATTCTTCGACAGCAAAATGTTTTGTTTCCACCTGTCCTTGAGCGACAACTTTAATCGTCCAATTTTTTCCATAGACCGGCTGTTGTGATAGTGGATATTCAAGACTGACAGCACCTGATTATATGAAAATGATTGGCCGTGATGATAATGATGATCGATTAGTAACATTGTTTTCAGATGAAAAATTTAAAAAAAAATGTTGGAAAAAATTCAAAAGAAAACTGATTAAAAAGCAAACTCTGGTCTGATTAAAATGATTCTTTAGAAAACTAAAATTCGCCTCGAGCTGATCTGAGAAAAGAAAATTCAAAACAAAGTTCTGAATTTTATTTCCCAGTAGTATTTTTCTTTCAATTAATTAGTTGATGCTATGGATTGTTTGATCAGGAAAAAAGGTGTAAACTAAGCAAAATTTCCACTAAAATAAATTTATTCTAAACACGAATACATACCAAGATTTGTTTGCCTAGAAAGCCAACGTCGCATGATCGTGCCTCGAGGATCAAGCATATAAATATCGATTGCATCGGAAAATGATTTTAGATCCGTTGTTACGGGCATTGCACGGAATCGTACTGTCTGTCCTTGCATATAGACTGGTTTGTCTGTTGTTATAAATATGGTCATAAAACGTTGTTCAAATTGCAGTTTTGTTTCATTATGGAATACATTGCCACCAAAATATTCATTAACATTGCCTTCAATCCATAGTTTATATGTACCGGGTAAAGAATTTGTTGGCATACGTAATAGCAATGTTTCCGGTATACTTTCTTTACATAATTGCAAAGCTGATGATAATTCAATACCATTGCGTTTTAATGAAGCTCGTACATTGATTGTTGCAGTACTACGATAAATGGTCACTAATACTCGATATACTTGTCCGGGACGTACAATACGAGATGCTACAATAAAATAAGATCTAAAATGAAACGAAATAAAAAACAATTATTATTATTTTGATCAATCCTAAATATTATTTAAAATTCCAAACACACACACACCACACATCGTATAATATGGCCACGGTTTAAGGTTATTAATTTTTTTTTTGACAAAAGAATTGAAATTTTTTTTTTTGTTATACCCAACAGAAAAGGTCGTACGGACCATTGCCCATATTGAATGAAATTTTTGTTTTTCGAACAATTCGATCAAGTCCATTGATTCTTTTTTCAAAACTGAAACTCATATGTATCGACAACATTAGGAATTTTTTGTTGTTCAGATGAAAAAATTGTTGAATTTGAGATGGAAGAATTATTAGAATAATTTTGGTTTGAGATAATAATGAATGAAAAACTGAAATAGGATAATTCGGAAACAAAATCCAGTCATCATCACATTGGCATCCTCAACCAACAAAACCAAAAAAATAGATATAATTAATATTAATTTTGTTATTATTAGGATTCTTTTTTTTCAATTTTGAATGTTCGATTCTTTAAAACAAAATTATTCTCACTATCGTCATAAAAAAATTGTTACAATATCTATGTAGGCAAATCACGCACTCAGCTTTGCCCGCCAAAAAAAAATAATTGTTTCTGGATCACATGGCCCAGCTGTATTTGTTAAAAAGAATGAACATGAATTATGCACGCGACAATGGTTCAATGACATGGCTGAAAAAAAATTGTTTTTTCTTTGGATTATTTTAGTCTAGAATTGTGATTCTTTTAAATGTGTGGCAATGGCATTGAAATTCATTTCGAGACAATTTCGTTTTGTTTCCTTACAACAAACCTACACAATCGTGGTTATGGAGAGTGTTCAAGCAAATCGCTTTATTATTATGATTTCAATTCGTAATAAAAATAATGATAATAACAATCGTACTTTTCTATTTTCAGGATTGTCATATGGATGAATCATAGATGTTTTACCCACAAATGTCAAACAACATTGAAAATGGGCCAATTAAAGTGGAAAGAAAAGAACAAAAAATAGAGAAGGAATGAATGTTAGAATATATTACGTGAAACTTTGAACATCATCACTACATCGTGAATAGAAGCGAAAAAAGCATACAAATCACAGTGAAGCAATGAAATGGAAAGAAAATTTTTGACTGATTGACACATTCACCATAAGACAAAACACGTGCCTTTTTTCTGTAGTTTTATTAGCGTTTACTTTGATGATGACAAGAATGATTGAATAGAATCAACGTGAATGTTTTCAATAATGAGCAAAACAGGTCGATAGTTTCAATAACTACAGTTTCAAGCAAAAAACCTTTCAATTAGATGAGAAGAATTCAAACTTTTTTTTCACTACAATACATTTAGCATAACAAGAATTTTTAATAATAAAATAATTTGCTAGTAGGCATAAAACGAATCAATAAAATTGAAAAAAATTTCATTTTTTGGATTTAAAATTTTTTAATATTATAAAAAAAAGAAAAAACTTACGGTTCGGTTAAAATGAGATCACTGTTAATATCGTTGATGTTTGGATTGTTATTGGTCAGGATGTTTATATCCGAAGGGTATTGTGATGATGATACCGATGGTTGTTGTGAATTTGTTGTTTCGATAGGAGTATATTGTTGTGATCTAATTCCTTCAGTGAGGAAAAATAACAATATAAGTATGTGATGTAATTTTCGGTAGCATTGACCATGAATCGATGTTGAATATTTGTACATTTCCATGAAGGTGTTTGGTACCAAGAATGATTGTTGTTCTTGTTGTTGTCGTCGTCGTCTTCTTCGTCCTCGTTGATGACATTCAATCATTGAATCATCATCCATTATAATCATTATTATTATTATTATTATAGTTGCATTGCATTATATTTGAATAAAAATTTTCAATTTGATTTAATAAATTTTTCAACGAACGATAAAAGATGCGTAAAAATCTATAATTTAAAAAAATTGAATCATAAAATCATTACATGAATTTCAATAATTTTTCAAGTATTATGCAACAGTTTCATCATTTTTCATTCATCTATTCATCTCATTTTTTTTGGTTCAGAAAAGTAAGCCTGTGGTATGAATGATTGAATTAAATTGTGAAAAAAAAACTTCAATTTTCAAGTGGTGTATTTGAATAACAACAACAACAACAAAACCTCAAACAAAATATGAACCAACCAATGTGAATGATATTGAATAGAAAGTCTGATCGGTAAGGTGAGAATATCCGATTCAAAAAAAAAACGGAGAACAAAATGAACTGGTACCATCATCTTAACAATGACCAAAAAAAAAATGAATGAATGAAAAACCAATCTTAACTATAGTGAATGGAACAAACAAATAAAAAAAGCCAGTACCGGGTGCTGTAAAAAAAATTGAATAGAGTAGTTGAGCTTTTGTCTGTATGAAAGTCAATAAGACCTTCGTTGCCTGAATGCATGCACACACAAAAACAAACTCACTGTCCAAAAAGACACACGAGCCCACATGGTCTTAAAACCAATCAACCAAACCAGCCAAATTCGGAAATGAAGCCAAAACAAAATGAAAATAAAAATTTGTACCAAATGGAACACCTGAACATACAAAAAAAAATGATCTCTATTGTTATCATTCAGCTTCTTTTTTATTCATTCATCACAATCATAGGTGTTTTCCCAGCAAAATTCTAACTGCACTAGTTTTCTAAAAACGATAAATTAATGTGGAAAAAATCAATGATTATTGTGAATAAGACCAACACTAAATGAATTTGTACGGATGTGTGGAGCGCTCGTGGTTTATAGCATATTACCAACAAAAAGAGATTAGCCATCATTCAAATATCTTTTTGTACAGGCTATTCAAAATTCATAAACAATATGATTCATTCATTCATTCATTCATTTTTTTGGTGTCATCCTGATGATGGTGATGATTATTATGACCCTCATTCGATCCATAGTAATGTTGACAATCCAAAATGAAAAGATATTCATTCATTTGGACTTTGAATGCCAATCTAAAAATAATCTTTCATCATCAAACAAACCGTATAAAGTGTCCAACTTTGGTGTGAATGTTATGAAAAGGAAAAAAAATTTGGTCGTTTGTGATTTATCGTAAGCGTTAAATCTTTTTAACTAAAAGAAAAATAAAATTCTGGTGACATTTGAACGACAATCATTTGGGCACCATATTTAAAAACAGCTCAAAATTACAAACACAAAAAGATATAACAACCATATCCAATAATAGTTGTCTAGGATGTGACAATAATGTTCTCAGTTTGTCTCTATACTGATCTACCGCTCTATTTTTTCTAACAACTAAAACTCTTTCTGTATTTGATAGGGATGGATCAATTGTCGGTTGTGCATGATTCTAAACTTTGGCCCTTTTCGGATATCTATGTTGATTCTAAGTAAGAAAGATCATTTGTCGTCAACAAAATAAAAGAAATGAATGTGACATGACAAAAAAAAATCGGGGGTAAAATTATTCGCTTGAATTATTTAGCTTTGAACAAAAATAAAGTGTTGAATTGAAGATTCGAAGAAAAAACCAAAAACATAACAAAACAATACAACAAAGCTACCGGTTTTCCAAATTCCCAAATAACAAATATCATCAGCCTTATATGTTTGCGAATTGAAAACAATAAAACACAGCCGCATCAATTCTCCGATGAATCGATATGACATCATAAAAAACAAACACAAATTCATTAACAAGCAAACAAAAAACTGAAAAATAATTCGATAGTAAAAAGAAATTATTGGTGAGTCATTGGATCAATAGCCCAAAATATCGGCAAATAACAAACGAAACAAAAAATACTGAATATCAGAGTGTCGAGATTGATAATCGATAGAAATTTCACCAAAAAAAAAAAAACGAAGAAGCGCCCAAAAAAAATTGGTCCTTATCATCCTAAATAGGAAAAATTATTATGCATGTGTTTTTAGTATGATGATGTCTGACATCCGTAATCGTATAATTTTTGAAGCAAATACATGAATTATATAAACTCAAATGTGCACCTGCCGTCTGTATAGGTCGGTGACCATTAATCATACTGAATATATCTAAAAAAATGTGTTTGTGTGTGTGTTGTTCGATGGTTCATGGTATCCAAACAAAACGAATATCAGGTATATCAAACATTGGAGAGAAACACTGGAAAAATTCTCCATATTCGGTAGATATTTTTTATGATACGAGGCTGTAAAACACAAACACATCAACATTAAATAGATTCGAATGTTAACTAATTAGACAATGCCAGAGATTTTCTTTTTTTCAATCTGTATGTTTGTTTGTAGAGAGATAGAAATACACAGTAAAAACCATTAAGAGAAATTATGATGTATTGCGATCATTTTAACAATCAAAAAATATTTTTTTCAACTTCAAAACAATTTCCTGTTCAATTTTCAGAATAAATTCAAAGTAAACCACACATAGTGAATTCTATGTTTTTATAATTTATGATCGTGATCAATAATAATGCTAATCATCATCATCATCATCACTGGTAAAATCATTGCTATAATTAGATATAATCATCTCAATTCTTTACCATTCATTTTAGAAAAAAAAATTAGTTCAATGCATTAGCTAAAAATATTGAGCTTTCGAGAAAATTATTTCTTCACTTTCATTTCAATATGGTTTTACAACAATAAAATTATTACAAATGTTATAGATTCGTGATCTTCGCAAATCTTTTATTGATGTTAGATTCAATCATTTTTTTTCCTGCTTATAGAATAGAGAGTTAGTCTCTGTAAAGTCATCAATGATGATGATGAACAAAATTTCATATTTCATCAACATTCGATTTCAATGTAAAATTATTTTCAAAATAATCAAAAAAACAGGCACCGATTTTCTTGGCCAACATTTTTGGATGAAGCTTGAAATGAAAACCTCTAACGAAGATATCGATAACAAGGAAGCCAAACAACAACAACAACAAAACTATGATGCTGATGAAATGATGTCAAACACCTGCTATTTTTTTTCTTATTCATAAAGCGAAGCATCAATAAAGTTTTTCGAAAGATTTTTTAACTTGATTGTTCAACAACGATAATGTTGATGATGTCTATTCGGTGTTGTTTGTTAATTTTAATGTTATTCAACTTTTTTTTCTGCAACAAGCTAACGAAAATGTGATATAAGAAAAACGGAAAAAAAACGGAAGCCTTAAAAATATCTTCGAAAACAAATCACGAATCTGAGACATCTGAATTCAACAGTAGCATCAATTCAAAGAGGTCAAAGAGTTTTTTATTTGAAGTATATTTTGTCAATGTCATATGATGAAACAAACAAACAAAATCTAATTAAAATGGAAGAAATTAAGGCGTAACTTCTCGGCAGATGATAATAATAATAATGATGATAGTCATAATAAATGATGATGGCAATGGCCATAAAAATTAATCAACTTGTTGTCATCATCAGTATAGTTTTTCCTTCAAATTCATAAAATCTAGCATTGGATTCATTACTAAATAACTTGAAAAAAAGTGTGAAAAAAGTTTATAGACCATCCCAAGTTAAAATTAAAATTAAAAAAAAAACACTGTTTTATTCCAAATTCAAATTTGAAAAATAGATATTTACATAAAATTCATAAGGAAAAACTTGAAATGAACGATAGTGACATTCGATATGATATTTTTTTTTTGTATAAATTGATCATTATCTAATATGTCAATCAATGAATCAATCAATTCTCAAATTAATTAATTAATTGAAGAAGACAATGATTGCTACTGGATAGGGAAAAAAGTGATAGAATAAAAATTGACTTGTCAGTCGATATAAATTAATGATCATCATCATCATACAGCAATAAACTATTCATCAGAAACGTCAGAATGTCAAAAAAATAAATAAATAAACAAAAAACAAAACAAAAAATGATGGCAACAAGCGGCAAACCAAATTTAGATATTTTTATTTTTGAATTCATTCCGGCATTTCAAGTTGAAAAATTCAAGAAAAAAAATTCTTATTTTCACAAGTTGTAAACATCATCATCATCATCATAATCATCGTCAACTTCTGAATAAAGAATAGACAAATAAACATTGGTGATGAGCTAAAGCTGGCTATAGTTTCCTTTCATTGGATATTCGAGTAAAAATGAAAGAAATATTTTTCGATTATTGACAAGAGATGCGGGTGAAAAATGTGATTTTAGTTACTATTATTATGGATCATAATGGATCCTCATTTTTACATGATGTTCATCATCATTTAGAATCCCAAAAAAACATAAATAGAATCAGGATAAAATATAATAAATGATCCAATCATTAAATGCAGAATACATGCATCAAAGAAATGAATGGATGACTGAATAGTATCTTTCATATAAACATTTTTCTTTTATTCGTTGTAGTTGTTGTTGTTACATTGTTGTTAGGATTATGATCGAAACGTATACCCAACCAACCAACAACAAAAAAAAAGTAAGATAGAACACAGGAATCAATGTTGCGGTTCTGTGATAGTGAAACAAATATTTTCATTTTTATTTTTGCAGCTTGATGATTCATCAGGAATCAGTTTCTTTGTTTATAGAATAAATATTTTTTTCTGCTATGAAGTGTTGTTGCGTGATGATAGAGGTGTTTGTTGAAAATATTGAAGCGCGCGCTCTTCACAAATATCAAATGCAAACAACACATTAATAACTGAAATCGAAGCAAAAAAAAAAGATGGATTCTGACACATCTGTGGCCGACACATGTTTAACACTGTTCCATTTATTCTTGTAGATTTTGATACCCAAAAAAAATAATATGTTTGTAAGAAAAAAAATGTGCAGAAAATTTTTGTTACAAAAACAATCGAATGAAAGAAAAAATTTCAAACCAATCAAATTATTATTATGATTAATATATCAAGTATTAGTGGTAAATACTATCAATCGATTACAAATGTATCGAAAAGTGGATCAATCGAAACAATCGGATTATATAATAATAATAATCATCATCATCATGTGTACATATCATAAATTCTAAATCATTTTTGGTTACATTAAATGGTAACCAAAAATGAACAAGAAAAAGAAAAAAAACGATGAAAACAATCCCATTTACAGCCGTTACATTTCCTGAAAGAATTTGTAGTGTGAGTCGGGATATTTTAACATAAATTCGAACAGAGATATTAGACACACCACACATAAACATTAAAATCATTGATGATCAGAAAAATAAATCATCAATGAAAAATAAAATCGAACAAGAATTGAACAACATTGATTTTGTTGTTATGGAAAATTTTGAAAATTAAATAATTTTGTAGTTGATGCTTCGTCATTCATTCATTGAATGACGAATCGATAAGTCAATGACTTTTATACATTCTTTTCTATGCAGGCCATGGAGTTCATTATGTTAATCAGAAAAGCCTTTTAGAAAACTAATCTTGATCAATTTATTATTATTATTATATGTAGAAGAAATAAAATTAAACAAATTGAAACTTGATGACCATGATAACATAATTATGTCAAAATCATCTGCTACTAAACTCTTTTCGTCGCTGAATTCACAACAATAAAAATCTGTTCAACAGAACATTTTGTATTCGATTAAAATCAAACAAAATCAGAAAAATTTGGTCGAGTGACCGGACAAAAACAAGATTGAAAAAAACACGTGACATGCACATGACCAGATTGTGATTAGAAATCAAATTTTTGAATCGCCGACAAAATTCATGATTTTCGAAAAAAAGGTGTACAAAATATCGACGACTAGCCCAACGATTCACAATTCTTATGATGCCATAGCCACACACGAAGCAAAATATAGCAAATTGAATGTCATGCATAGCCAAATATTGGAATATAGCAAGATAATTAAACATGAAAAAGGATCGGCATCATTTTTAAAATGATATTTAAAAAAAACAAAATCTAAACAATTATCAATTGTCGGTTGTCAACAATTGTTTGGTGATCATTTTCATCGAGATATATAAGATCAAATTTTCTAAAAAACAAACATGTCATAAATACTTGAAATAAAATGAAGGAATTTTGAATTTATGCAAATGAATTATTGATCCATACAAACATAAACTGAATGTTTAGTAATGTTGTTTTTTTCAAGATGATTATATGACCATTATGATCTATTTTATTTTTTTTGAAGTAGATCAAATGATCAAGATGACCTTTGGGGTAAAACCTCGTTTAGTGACTGTTTAGTTCCTATTCATTTTTTTTGGCTCCTGTTACAGCTGTTGTCATTTTTTTTGGTTGTTGTCTGGACTACCACACATATAATATTCATCAAAAAGATTGTTATCAGGATAGCCACCAACAAACATCATTATTGTTTATCATTATATTATATTGCATCATCTATACACACCCAAATGAATAAGACAAATGACATTCAGTCATCCGTTCTATTCAATTGAATTCAAAAAAAATCAACAACCAATGAAACAACAAGTGAAGATTCAGATGAAACGACGTGGTTCACTTGCAACCTAACCTAACTAATATTATCATGTGTTAGTGGCCAGGGTGCATGACATGCAACGATCATTGCACTACAATTGATATAATCACGCTATTATCATATAGAATTTATCAAACTACTCATGGAAAATTCATTTGGTGGCCAAATTGTGGCAGTTTGTTCGACAATCAATGTACCTTCAAAAGCAACTTTTTCTTTTGGGCAAACTAGTTTTTTTCGTTATATCAAAATATTTGGCGTGGTATATAGTGGAAAGAAGAAAAAAAACAGAAAAGTCAGAAACAACAGGTAAATACACAACGAAATAAGCAACAACAACGACAATGAAAAAAAAAATCCAATGGAATGTCTGCGTGTTCGAAACAAGTGGTTAATTCATGTGGTACTGTAATTATTAATGATGATGATGATAATAATGATGATTATTTTCATTGATTGAAAAAACACACCTGCCACACAATATTTTTGGCAACATTGAATAATCAGTGATATAACTAGACTAATATTTAGATCCAAAATAAAAAGAAAAGAAAAACATACCGTTTGTTTTGATATGATTTTTGTTGTTGTTGATTTAAATTGATTTCAAATTGATCAAAATAAATCCGGATGAAAATTTAAAAATTTTTTCTATTGACATTCTATTTTGCTGATTTGTTTTATAATTTTGATTGTTTATGTGCTCTGTGAAGAGCAAACAAGTGATAACAAGATTCTTGGTCAAGTTAAAATATGATTGTATTAGATAAATGAATAAATAAATCAGCAAACATGTACAAACAAAATCAAATCCAAATCATCATTATTGATTGAACAAATTGAATGATGAGATAAATATTTGTTTTCCGCTTTCAAACGTTGTAATTCAAATTAGTAGTTTAGTTGGAAAAAAAACAAAACTGAGATTGTTTTCAATTGTTTACCAAATGATAGATTTTTTAAATGATCCAGAAACATGAAATACAATATTGAAAAAAATTATGATGAGAAACAAACACCGGTGTTGATGGAAACGGTAACCATAGAGATTAATGAACCAAAACAATATAAATAAAAAACTATTAGCCAACAAACCGACCAACAAACAATAAATAAATATTCGAGCTTGTTGAATTCACACATTTACACATTTACAATCGGCATTTATATATGAACCGGGTCATATTGTTTATTTTATTTTTATCTAGTCGGTTAAAACAAGATATTCGATACGAATTATTCGAGGTCGATGTGTTCACTGATGTTATTCAATTTGAAAAAAAACAACATTCTGCCAATAATCACATATCATCACAATTTCAAAACAATCAGCTAAAAAAAAGGATTATTCATCAATAATGAGCTGAACAATTCTTATTCGTTGACAAGATAAAAATCATGACACAACAAATACTCAACAAATACACACACCTTATTGAAGAAGAAGCATCGTGAATCAATAGAGAGAAAAAGCCGCATCATCTCAATGGTTTAATTTATAACGAACAAAACAAACGACATCCACAGGTAGATACGAGTTTCACCAATAATGAAAGAATATTTTTAGCTAAGCTAAAAACTTTTAGATTGCACGCAACCTTACCAACACAAACACTACATCGAACAAGTTTTTTCTTGACTTTTCGACCAGATTTCATAAAACCATCAATGGCAAAATGTTTGTCGATAAAAATTCAATAAGGACTGAATTTGTTCGAATAGCTTGAGCGGCCAGCTTTTCAAAATGCTGATCATCAATTCATTTGCTCTTTCATTTCGTTTTTTTTTTCAATTCAATTCAATTGTAATGAACTGCCGCGCGGCAATGCTATTGTGGCATTTTCATTCATTTTGTATGTGAACCGTTTGGAAGTGTAGTCATAGCATTTCAGAAAAAAGGAGGTCCTTCTCAACATGGATCTAGTGGTTAAAAGAGAATGTAACGATGCCATATTACGAACCGAACAAACAAGGCGAATACTCTTTAAAATTGGTGAATTTTCTCGTCATTAATGTTAGCTATCTTTTGAGTGGATTTAAGCGGATGCTCGCCAATATCGGAAAAAGATAATCTATGATTTCGAATTATTTGATTCTACGGATTGTTCTTTCAATCTCCAACTGGCTCCATTTTACATTCGAATTTCATAAATATCGAAAGGCAAATGTTAAATGCATTCATTTATTTAATTAAAATTATCCTATATGGATGGCTCATACAAGTAATTTCAAAATCAAAAATTATCTATCAACATAGAGATGATTGTTCAGAGTTCAATTTTTCGAATTTGTCAATTTTGACAAACGTTCGAATTTTGCAGAATATAATATTCCACAAGACACTAGCGACATCTGTTATTCATCAAACAAATCAGAGGAAATCAATTTTAAAAAATTTTATTTAATGTTTTTATCATGATTAACTACAAAAAATTATAATACAGAAAATGATTTTCAAATATTAAATATCTTCTTTGAGCATTCCACGTGTAATTACTGCATCGCATGGTTTAGAATGACAACTTACTTCTGTATTACCGTATTCGTGGAAAACTGTTTTGGTCAAATCGACCAATGACTAAAATGGCAGAAAAAAAATAAAATGGATTATCTTAACAGTAACAAAAGTTAATTGCATTACCTTAAATGAACGTGGTTCATAAGTAGCCAATAATGAAAGAACTTCCGTATCCAATTCGACGTCGCACTATTGCAAAAAAAATTAGAATCGTTTGCATCATGCAATCAATTGCTTACTTTGTTTAATGTGGAGAAAAAATATTCGGCTTTGAAATCATGTTCTTCCACAGCAGCCAACAATCGTTGTTTATATAGATCGGTCATATGTGTATTTCGACGTCTACGAAATTCTTGAAGATAAACCATTTTTTTGACCCATCGATTTACAGCAATACGCCAAATATTGCGCGTTCGGCCATAATAACTCTAGACAAATACGAAAAATTTACTAAAATCAAACTTTCAATTTAGTGAATCTTACACCGGTCAGACGGAAGATAGCTTGTCGTCGAAAAAAAACGCTACGATTTTCTGGTTTTCGATAATAAAAAGGCATATATTTACAGCAAATCTGTGTTAAATTCACCATTTTATCTTGTTTAGTCTGGAATCTTCAAATCGAAATTTTCAAAAAATAATAAACATGTGACTTAAATCACGTGATTTGTGATTCTATTTCAACACAGAAGAATCAACCATTCAAATTAGATCTTTTACAACAAAAAATAATAAAATAATTTTGGATTGAAATTAAATTTCATTTTTATTCATTTTTTACATTGAATAATGAATTATTAATTTTTAAAAGATGACAATAACAACACATTTGTGTGACATTGTTTAATGAGAACCTTTTCTTATTATAGCAAGATGATTGATGATTTTTCTAACATTGAATTATCATGATGCAAAAAATTGACAGCCACCACGAAGTGCAAGAACTAAATGCAATACAGAACCACCGGTTACTTTATAATCACTTGCAGTTCGATCATCATTCCTGAAATTTAAAAAAAATAAATAAAATTCAATTCAATTCTTCAATAACACACTGACATTTGTTTTCCACTGAAAATAAGCCGCTGTTGAGCCGGCGGTATTCCCTCTTTTTCTTCAACACGTTCTTTAATTCGTTCAACTTTATCCGTCGGTTCGATATCGATTTCGATCTTTACACAAAAAAATGAAAATATTAACATTTAAAAAAATATGTCAAAAATTTTAGTTACCTCTTTACCGGTCAAAGTCTACAAAAAAAAAGACAGAAAAAATGTTTAAATTTTAGTCAAATTTAAAATCATAATTTATCTATTAACAGAATAAATACCTTAACTTTGATAAGCATTTTTATCAATATAAATATAATTTAAACGAGAAAAAATTCGAAATAGAAATTGATTCTTTTTTCAATTATAAACAGAATAAAAACAACAAGAAAAAATTTCTGCTTTCTCACGTCTTTTGTTTGCTTTTAACCGATTAACGTGCTATTCATAAACATCAGTACGAGATTTTCTAATTTTTTTTCGATTTTTTTTTATTCAATTCAACAATAATATTAAATTAATTAGCCAATTTTATTGAACAGAATGAGGAGATTATTATAACATCAAAATTTTGAAATAATTTAATTCCAAGTTAAAATCAGTTTATATTTTTGTTCGAACATGAAAATAGATAATATTCCAAATAAACCACCGGTATGATTTGATTCCATTGATAATGTATTAAAGTAATTTATTATTTTTCGGTTTTGCTTTTAATTCACCAAGTTCACTTTCGATATCATCAATAGGTATTGTCGTTTTTGAACCACCTCCTCCACCACCACCAATACCAAATACACTGACATTAATGTTGGGTTTTTCGCCGGGTTTCCGGTCATAATTAACTTTAACCATACCGCTTAAGACTTCAATATCCAACACCAATCCGCGTGGTTCACGTGCTAGATGCATACGAAAAAATGGCCATACATCCACATCGACACCTTTGTCGGTTTTTGTAACAAACGGCATTGCTTGACATGATCCTATCGTCATGAATAGGACGGCAGCGACCATTGTTGTGATTAGTAAAAAATTGTATTTATTTTGATGATTCATTTTAAAATATTTAGGTTTATTTTTTAAAAAAGTTTTCAATCGTTGAGAAAAGAATCAATAATTCAAATCAGTTAAACTTGTTGATTTTAAATGATCGACTCAAGTTCTTTTCTCCTGAATAATATTTTTTATTTGTTATGGGCATTTGATTTACTATTTTTATTGTATATTTTTGACAATAAACAACTAAAAAACGTCACAAGGATGCAATCCACATGATTAAATCATGAAATTTGAAAAAATAACGATAATAATTAATAAAAAACATAGGTTTATTCGAAAAAGATTCATCAAACCTGCTCATTAAATACTTTTAACATCAAGGTTCATCATAAATTTATGATTGCTACAACAAAAAGAAAATTTAATTTGATTTGTTGTTAAGCAATCATGCGAGAATTTTTCCAATTCAAAAATCAATTATATATCCAGCATAAATCATTTTGAAGTAATTATGCACGATAGATAATCATTTCATTTTCGATTTTTAAAGTTGATTATATGAACGACGCTTAAATGGATTCGAATTGTTACAACAATAGCAAAAAATTCTTGAAAACCAATTGGATTGTTCTTTATCATTTTGATTTGAATCTGTTGCATCATCGGTGTTTTCAATGATGATAACCTTATCTTTTTTACGTATAAATCGTGCTTCATCTTTTGTCAGAATAAGTTTTTTATAACATGTAGATTTTGGTTTTCTTGTCGGTGTCAATGTTAGCATAGCATCATTTATTCCTATTCCATTGAAAAGACGAGATTTGGGCTTATGATCTGGTTTATTGCATAAAATTCTGCTGAATTTGTCCACATTATTCAATGCTGTTTCAACATCATCTGTTAGATATAAACGTTGTGATTCGAATTTCATACGAATCATTTCATCCACACGACGACATTGATCGATATTAAGATAATTATCCCAGTCACCGAGAATATTGTAGAATTTATTTACCTTATGTGCATTTTGTCGATCCGAATCTTCTTGTTGTCGCTGTAAATTATCACCATTCATGGTATTTTGTGTATTTCGAATAAATTGTTTATCCACAATAAGCATTTCGATTTCTTGTTCATCCAGATTCAATTCGAGAAATTCAACAATTAATTTAACAATTTTCAAGGTTATCTAGAAACAAATCGGTTATTTTTTATGTTTAGCTTATCCAACAAAAAAACAAGTTCTTACTATTTTAAGCTCCTCGTAGCATATAAAAAGTACATTATTCTGATAAAGTTGTGATAATTGCCAATACGAAACAATATGATCAAAATAATTTCCGTATATAAGATTTCCATTCAGATAAAGGTCGATGAAATCATCCAATGAGATTTGTATACCTTTCAAACGATGATGATAATAATAGGCGACAATATGATCTTTGCTATTACGTCCCATATAGATAATTTTTGCCGTTGGTATTTGTAATTGTTGTGGCAATAGGTCATATGGTAAACTTGTCGAAATCAATCGTGGTGATCGTAAGCTATTTAGCCATCTAATATGGCCGTACAAATTCGATGCTTCCAAACGGGCCACAGTTATTTGTGGTGTCTGTTGATCATCATTATGATTTTGATTATCATCACTTTTTTTAGTTTCATTCGTTTCTTTTTGGTTTTGTTGAAGATTTTTCTTTTCGAAATGTTTTTGCAACAATGCTTGAACAATATCTTCGAGAAGATGAGTACCGTTAGCTGGATATGCAATAAGATATATATCATCATCACGGACATCAAAATCTTCAATATTTTCTAATACACGTTTATTTACAGCATTACCTGGAAATTTATAACCTTTATAAATGACCATGTTCGGAATCATTTGTTCATATAGACGTTGTTTTGTTTCGATATTATCATCATTATCACTTTCATTATTATTATTAGATTGAATTGATTCACGAAACGCCCATGATGCTCGTAATTTTTTGATCGAATTTTTAATGTTTTTCATTTTATTTTGAATGAATCAATGTCAATGTTATTGTGATTCATGATGAGTAAAGAAAAAAAACAAAAACATTTTCTACTACATTGTTGCCATAAATTTCGAGGATTTCCTTTCGGATGAAATGTTTTTGTCATTTAGTATATGCAACAATAGATGTTGATGATAATCCAGAAAAGGGAGGTCTTTTCATGATTGCTTAAATTTTAAAATTCTAAAATCACAGGAAACGGCAATAATTGAATTGTTGAAAAAATTCGATTCATTTAACAATAAATGTACGATAACTTTTCAAAAGACTATAAAATTTGTTATTTTTTTCATTTGTTTTGATGTGAATAATGACAGATTCTCAACGATCGCAGCAATTACTTTTTGCAAATTCAATAGTTTCATCGATTATCAATGTGTCGGTAGATTATTCCGAATCAATTGATAAGAAATTTCAAACAATTTTCACTCTAGTCAATTATAATTATTTGGTTAACGATTCAATCAATGATATTATTTTATTAGATGAAAAGCTATGGATCATTTATCAAGTTAAAAATTGTTTGATTGATAGACCAATCGGATGGATTGAAGGAGCAATTAAAATAGAACCATTGAACGATGATGATAATATTGAAAAGAATCGTTCGAATTCTTTGATTATATTACGACTAAATCCACAAAATGGACAACAAATGAGTGATTTTAGACGAATGAGAACAAATGCTAACAAAGTTTTTCAGTTTAGTGTGGATTCTTACCATCAAAATGAGAATGGACAAAAATTGATCATAAATAGTATGTTGAATCCAAACAAAAATTTTATTTTGGATACAGATGGAAAAATGTTTGTACATTTGAAGACATTTAAGATTATTGAAAATGATGATAATGCTCTAACCATAAATAAACCGGTAACAATCGAAATTCAAACAGGATGTATCGATTTATTTTTTTCTCCTGATGATTCATTTTATATTTGTCGGCCATTATCTGATCAAGAATTACGATTCAAGATAATTTCCACTAATTATCAGATAGATTATGTAAATAATAACAAAGAAGAGCCTTATGATCGTAACGAAAGTCATGTGTTGTCTATAGAAAAGAAGATAAGTTCGAAGCCTTGCATTTCTTTACCCGAAAGGATAAAACGAAAAAACCTCATTCAATTGGCCGAAATTAAACGAACGTTGTTATCATCATCATCACCATCATCATCATCATTTATGGCAAATTTACAATCTAAAACAACAAACAATGAATTTAACGATAATAAAGAAAATGAAGTTATAAAAAGTGAATCCAAGTCATTCGAAACGGTGAAAGATTTTTCAGTTTCGAATAATGAAACTGAAAAATCTTTAAACTGTGATGTTCAACAACAACCATCTGATCAAAAAATGGAGACAATGATCCAAACAAAAAAATCACCTGAAATTCGTCCCGAAGATAAAGAAGAACAGCAACCAAAAACTGAAATTTTGGATTCTACTAAACCTCAGTCACAAATAACAAAAGTTTTTTCTAATTTTGAAAAGACAAAAGTAAAATCTCTTGATGAAATTGGAAAAATTATGAAATTAGATTCAGTTTTGATTGTTAACAAAATCAATCTCAACAAATTGGCCGCTTCTCCTGTTGTAATTTCACCAGAACCATCCACTATTACAGATCAAAGTTTACGATCTTTATCAAAGTCCGCTACCGAACCAAGAAAAACATTAACATCAATAAAAGATAGAAAAATATTGCGAAAAGCAGCTTTGCATGACATTCAAAAAACTGTACGATATCTGGAATATGTGAATGCTTTTGTAGCAAATAATGAAGATAATTTCAAAGATGGTATGTTCTTTTTTATAACTTTTTTTATATTAGAAATTTGACCAACCTGATTTTGCTTTTTTTTTGTTTAAACAGAAGCAATCAAATGTAAATTCGATAGTTATCGAGATCGATTAGCTCGACAACTAATGCATACTATTGATCGCATTGATGAGTATGTTCGACCATTGATTGTGGGTGATGACGACAACAGCATCGAGAGTGAATCGACCACTTTCACTAAACAAAATGATCAGTATTTTTTCTACAATATCATCAAAAGAATGATGAAATTAATGGCATCTATGGAGCATAAAATGTTTCGAATAATTTCTAAAGAGATCATGGATTGTTTGGCGGAAATTAGCAACAAATATTTCAATTGAAATTCACATTCAACTGATGTATATTATCAAATAATAAATGTTACATTTTTATTTTTTTTCATAACCATGTTCAATCAACACACCACGTACAAGCACGCAGACCGATTCAAAAAAAAATCCTTCGACCTTTTTTTCAAAGGAATTTATCGAGTGGAATTTGATTTTTGAAAAATGTAATAAAATGAATAGAAATGAAATTACACGCATTGTGTAAGGCAATATAATTTGCAAAATATGAACCAAAAAAAACTAAAAAAAAAAAAATTAAATGACTTTTTCCATAAATCTAATCACAATGAATGAATGTTAATGTAAATGAATTTGATCCAGGATTTGTTATGGTGAAAAAAAAGTAGAATAATATAAGAAAATATTGAATTCCAACAAAATACCTGGAATTCGCGATGAAATTCTTTGCTTTTTTAAAAATGAATAAAGATTCCAAATTGTAAATATCAAAATTTAATGATGATGACGACAATAATCTTATCATCTATTTTCAAAAAAATATGAAATCCATTTTGATTTGAATCTAATTAGTTTGGTTTTTACTTTAGATTTGTATTCCATAATAAATTTATTTTCATTTTTTTATAATCAAAGAGAAAGAATAAAAAAATTGAAATTTTTTCATATCTTCTACCACTATAGCACACTCGATTCATTATATGAAAAAAGAAAACAGATTCTTCCTTGAAGATTCCCAACCACAAAATCTAAATAGATAAATTAATCATTCGTCTTTCTTTCCCATCTCTCTATCTTTCTCTTACACCAAAAATTTCACTTCATTTTATTCATATGAATTGTATAAATCTATTGAATTTTTCATTTATTTCTTATGCTTCTAATTCATATTTTATATGGTCATAACCTTTTCATTATTTAAGTATGTAAAAGAGATAAATGGAATGTAATGTTTATGTAAGTGTTTTTTTTGTATACACTCTTTTGTTGTTGTTCTTGCTGTTGATCAAATTGAATGATGGTTTTTATAAAATAATGTTCAACTTGAATAAATGGAATGAAGAAAAAAAATTGTTGATTAAAAATGATTATTCTTTTTTTTTCTTCTCCCAACCTCTTACAATATTCATTGAAACTTATTGTCGATGATGATAATGATGATGATGATGATGACGGTAGTGTTTGAAGAATAGAACAAGTGAACCATAATGTGTTTAAACATGCGGTATACATACGATTCATTCAACTAAAGTTTTTTTTGTCGACAAACGAAAAAAAAGCAAATTTTGATTCAAAATTTGTTCCAGAATAAAACGACAACAACAACAATAATAATAATGTTGATGATGCGAATAATTATGATCATAGTTTTGCTATTCATTTCAATTATTATTACTTTTATACTCATCGGACATAGATATCCTTTGTAACTTATGATCTGTAACAAAAAAAAAAAAAAATTATTTGGCCATTGCTTAAGGACAATTTAGCCGATCATTTTACTTTATTGATAAGAAAATTGAAAAAAAACATCAACTATCAACCGGATCAGGTATCTTATTGAAGAAATGAATGGACCAAAATATCGTTACAAATAACAACAAAAAATGATGATCATGATGATGATAACGATAATGATGACAACTGTTTTTTACATTTATTTAGTATGACGATCAATTCTGTGCCTAAGGTCTCATTATTATCTTGACTTGTCAGACTTATGTTTACCTATTCATTTTCGAATCTGGTTGTTTGAAACTTTTTTTTTCAATTTGTTATTCTATTTTTTTTACTCAATGAAAAATAAAACTCAAACAATTAGGAAAAAAGGAGCAAAATATTATTTTTTTATTGTTAAAAATAAAATTGAATGAAATTTTACTTTTCAAGTTTAGAAAAATATTCTCAAGTACGTAATTCATCGAAACAAAAAAAAACATAACGTTGAAAGAAATGATGAAGAGCAAAGTCATCAAATTAATTTTCAAGATGATAAAATGAGAAAATGGTTCCAACAACTCAAATGTCGACCATAGACATGTCCTACAGATCTGTAGCAAAAAGATGAGAATTTCCGATGTGATGAATAAGTTTCTAGTCAAGATAATAATTGCATTTTAATGTATGATGCATGTTTGGAATTTGTTTTAATGCCAAAATTCACTTTACCAAATATGATATTTTATTTGTGTTTCACACATGTGTATTTCATTCAATAAAGATGCTAACAAATTTCAAATTGAACCACAAACCAGAATCATAAAATACCTAGAGGCTATTTATTTGCTCTATTTGATTTTTCTTTGGTCATCGATTCCTATTCGATTTTGGTGGACATCAGTAACATTTATTCATTTTTTTCTGGTTATATGAATTTTCATTTACCGAAAAAAATATATTATAAATATAAAAAGATAAGTCAATCAAATTATTGTGCAAACATTAACTTGTCAAGTATCTTCAGTGAGTTTATATAAGTGTTATGTAAAAAAAAACTTTATTTCCTGAAACATTTAGAGTCTGTATCTAAAGCTTTTGCCATCATTTACGAATGATTATTACATTATTGGCCTGCATTTCCCTACCAGTTTTTGGTGGTAAATATTTGAATAATACAAAACCTAAATATTACAATTTGGATTGAGATTGTATTTTATCATAAGCAATGATGATTTGTTACCCAAGTAACGTCGTTTTTTTTCATTTTCGTCGATTAATATATATTAGCTGAATTTTAAGGCTTTCTCCTTTTCTTTCTTGCTTGACAATAATAAAAATGTTTTTCATATTGGATAATAATGCAAACACAGAGAGTATGACAATTTGTCAATTTAAAATTTTATTTTTGCTTCTTTCGACATTGTAAAAATCCCTTTTTTTCCGTCAAAGTTTTCATGTTTCACTGATTTTTTTTCATAAATAAAGTTTCTTAATTAAAAATGAAGTACATTTATGCGATGACGATGATTTTGGATCTGGGATTATCAATTAAAATTGGATCAACTTTATTTCATTTTCGTTAATGCTATTACAAAATCAAGTACAAACAAATGTGTTACATATTTCATTGTATACAACAAAACACTTTTTTTTACCAAACATACTAAGATTTTCAATTGTAAATTGGATGTAATGAAAAATGATTCCATTTTCATAAAAAAATATAAATTGTATAAAAGAAAAAAATCAATGAAAGGATGTGGTTGAAAAAAAAAAGTAAAATGAAATTTTTTTTTATTACCCGAAGGGAACCATTCTTTTTTTTGTTGGCCAATGTTATCAACAACCTAAATTGAATTACTTTAGTGAAGGAAAAAACGGATACACCAATGTTGAACATTGTGAACGGAGGAAGAAAAAAAATCCGGCCATTTCTGTCAAACATAAATTATTAATATTGAAATTATTATTATTATTTGTTCGACCATAATTCAATGAAATTGATATTTTTCAAATTAAAAAAAATCTATTGTTTTTTTCAAAATTATTTATTTTACAATTTTTAATTATCAGTTATTGATATTATAACAAAAAAAAAAGAAATTGATTAACAAAATGAAAAATAATAGCTAAAAATTATTCGAAATGATTAAAAAAAAGAAGAGAATTCTTGTTTGGTAATTGTCTATTATACAATTCAAATCAATGTTTACACATCAACAACAACAAAAAAACGATCATTGAAGAAAGAATTGCTGAATTTTTTTTTTACTTTGGTATGATTGAAAGTTTGTTTTTTTTTGTATTCTACAATATTTTTGTTTTGTTTTGTTTCGTTCTGTCATATTAGTGATTGCTTGATTTTGTTCTACAAGATTTGTACAGTTTTTTTTGTGTAGATGTTTGAATAATTTGTGTTTGATTGATCGACAAGAAAAAAAAATCATCATTATTATTGGAATAAATTTTGAAATTGCCAATGTATCAATGTTGTAAATAGAACATATATACATTTGACCATGTTCATTTCGGTTAGATGACCATAATGACCAATATGATGTATACGTCCAGTATTTAATACTTTTGATCGTGCCGCTATATATTGAAATGAATGTGCAAAAGAAAAAGAAAATATGAATTATCCATAACGTTTTTTTTTGTTGTTCAAATATATACAATCAATAACAAATATTATTTGATTATATTCAAAAAATGCAATCAACACCTGATTATGATTGAATCATCATAGAAAATGAAATGAAAATATTCTTAATTCTATCTAACATTTCACACTGCTATTCGTTATATTAAAAGATACTATGATTATTATGTTTTATTCATTATCATTGTGGTTGTTTTCCATGTTGAATGATGTTTTTGGCCGGCAAGTTTTTTTGTTTGTCATCATTATGAACATTAATATCCATCAATTCATCTACCCATCCATTCATTCATGTATTTATGTGTATTATAGAATTGTTTCAGAACAAATAATAATTTGTTCAATACATAAATCCATTAAATGACTAGACAAACTAAAACATGTATAAACTATGGCTAGCTATAACTTAGACCACACCAATATTGCATCAATTATTAATTATTATTACCATGTTCATATATTTTTTGTCTCTAATAATAAGTATTATTCTTAACCAAAGACATTGAACATTGAGCATATGAACCGAAACAAAAGTCTCACTATATTGGAATTGTATGGATCAAATGACCAAATGAACAAATTCATTTAGATTTGTAAACAAAACAAAAACAAAAAACAGGTGAAAATTCAAAGAATGTTCATGATTTTTCATATTTGAAGGTTCATATATTTTGATTGAATTGAACAGTTAACTTTTCTTCATATCGATGACATCTACTTTTTCATGATCATTATCAAAGATCACATATATATCGATAACATTTCAACATATGATATTAGCAATGATATAGATAAATGGAATCAAAATAATTATAATCATTCAATATTTATGATTAAAAATAGAACAACAATAACAATAAAAATAAAATTCTATGAAAAAATATAAAAGAATTGAGAATCATGAAAAACATGGTCAAAAGAAAATGGGAAATATTATTTTTTTTTTGTTTCTTGTCAATAGCCATAATCATCATCATATCATAGCTATAAATATGAAGGGGGAGAAAAAGAGAGAGAGAGTTGAAAAATAAATGTATTATCATCATTATCAATATAATAAATTAAATTAAAATATCTATTCTATCCATTATGATGATATTATTATTACGATTATTTGATGATGATGATGACGAAAACGGCAGTCATCATCAGTAGGGTCCATCATCATGAATTCTGTATGTTGAAGGGGATGGAATTGATATTTATACTAAATAAAAATGTATGAATGAATGAACTGGCTGGCTTGCTCAACAATGATGAAGATATGGTGGGTAACAATTATGTTCAACTTCATGAAAAGATATAATAATTTGATGGGCTCAATTTTTTTCTCTTTTTTTTCATTACTTTCGAATGGTCCATTGGGTTGGCCACCATTATCATCATCAATAGGCTTTTATGGTCTTGACTATATATTTGTGTTAGTGTGTGCGACATTTGTGATCTTAATATGTTCACGCCAACCATTCGTTTATAATTCATTTGGATCGTTATGGAATTTATATATCGAAATGGTCAAATTTCATTGTCACTAATTATTGCACGACCAATGAGTTGTATATCGGATATAAATTTATTTTGTGATGAACCACATAGAAAACTAGTAACAAAAAAAATTTCACTTGAAAATATTCAATGGTCGAATTTTTTTAAGCAATGTCTATATGAATCTGGCTATCTATCGATAATTCAACAATGAGGATCATGAAAACTATGGATATTAAATTTTTATTATCGATTTTTATTCCCTTACCCATTCGTTTACCATTTTTCCTTCTCAATTTGAGCACATTAATGAATGAAAATTTCCTTTTTACAGATTTTGGTAGTTAAAGCGAAACAAATAAACAAACATTGGAAACATTTTTTTTTGTTCACCCATCATGGAACCGATCAAGAGAATGCAACAAGAATATATGGCTCCAAGGCCTTCTTCATTCGGCCAGGAAAAAGAAAAAAAGAACGAGAGAAAGAGAAAAAAAAGTAAATCTGCAATCGTTTAGCAAACGATGATGAATAGAAATGCTTTTGGCTTAGTGATGAAACTCAATTGGATTGTCGTTCACAAGTCAATGACAAATACACACACACGCATTCAAAATTCAAAAAAAGATTCATTCTAACTGTTTGCCTGAAAAATTGAACAAAAAAAATGAAAAGAACATGGAACCAAAATCAATTTTCATTTCATCTCCTAAAGAAAAAGATTTGATGATTTTGAAAAGAGCATTTTGTTTGGCTTTACTTTTTATTTTTGTTCATTGGTCGTATGGATGGATGGATGAATGAATGAATGCATATGGATGGGTACACTTATGAAGCCATATAAAAAAAATACGATTCAATTCAAATTGAATTGTACAAATTTTATGCCAATATAACAAACAATAATGTATAAATATAGGGGGTTGAAAAAAATGATGGAAAGAATATTCTTTCCATCATCTGTCCTTGTAAATGTACAGACCTTGACTTTCACTTGCAGATGACGATGCTGATGATGATGATGATGATGCGAAATATTGTAACAATTCATGTCGATATTGATAATCTTTGACAATTTTGTTTGCTTCATTCTGTATATTATATAATGGTACAGATGCAATACATTTGAGCTTTAATTTTCCTTGATGAAAATGTTTATCATTTAATAAAAATCGTAATGATAAACCGGATGTTTTCAATGAATCCGAATGTAATTGTGTTGAATATTTTACTTCATAATCAATGCTATTTGTTATCTAAATGAATTTTCAAAGATTAGTTTAAAAAAAACAAAAAATTTAATAAGAATTTACCAGCAACAAAAAAAAGAGAAATCAAACCATAATAATACATACTGGTTCACCATTGATTGTAAAATTGAGTATAATATCCAAATTTGAACGATCTGATGTACAATTGGCCTGTATTTCATCACCGACCGTATATTCATTTTGATCGGTCGTTATTTTTGGGCCACTAGTTGGTAAAACTGTTGTACATGTGTAGAAAACATAATCAGTTAGTTTGTTGAATTGGGAATTTTTTTTTATTATCATTTTGAATTCCAATATATTTTTTTAACTTTCTGAATTCGATTAGAAATTGAAAATTTTTTTCTTTTCTTTCATTTTTTTTCGATACTGATGATGATATAAAATGATCGAAATTCTTTAAAATTGAATCATGTAAGCGTAAACAACTGAAAATCGTCAAAAATGATCATCACAAAATTGACTTGGCTTTTTGTTTGTTTGTTTGTTTGTTTGGTTTTTTCATAGATTTGCTTTCGAAAGAAAAATATCAACTTTTGAATTTCATTCTTTGTTGTTGTTGTTTATTTCACTGGAAACAAAGTAGAAATTCCAATCATATGGATTCAATATGATATAAACTCTGTCATTTTGTTTGTTGTTAGTGTATTGTGCGAATGAAAAATCTTCATTTCATTTCAAAGCATTTTTCACAAATGATCCGTGTAAATCTTTTATACATTTGGCTATATTTATCTTCGATTTTATTCCTGATCAAATTTAATGTATAAAATGGATGTTCATGTATTTCACCTAAGAATTCATTTTGAAAGAGAAAACCATGGAAAATGTAACGAAACTACTCTTGGGACTCATTACATTATACTTCAAACACAGGCATTTGACCTTTTTTTTCTGTCGAAAAGTTATTTTATTCATTGAATATAATTGACAAATTAGATTCTTGAAAATATAACAAAATGAATGAATGAATAATAATAATAAAAAAAACATCAACAAGGTTACTACTGTCATTGTCCTATGAATGAATGAACTAATAATAAATTTCGTTATACATTCATACATAGTTGAAACCGGAAAAGTTGAATAAAAAAATTGAATTTATATTTCATTTTTTTCCCGAAAAAAAATTGAATTGAATTTCGATGTTTTTATTTTTATCTTAACATTATTATTGTTTGACACATTCTTGTTGGTCATATTATTAAATTTTGTCATCAACATCATCATCTGTTCAACAAGAACATAATAAATATAATAATCGACTTTTAATGTTTTTCTTTTCTTATTTTTTTTTGTTTTGTTTGTTGCTTTCAATTTTATAATTTGATTAAACTTCAATTCACCATCTACCATACGAATTCAATCACTGGTTTCTTTTTTGAAATTCAATAGTTTTCCCATTCTTTGTACTTTATTTTAGATCATAAGGAAAAATTCTATTCAATTCTTCAGCAGTAGTAACATCTTTGATTTGATTTTTCTTTCATTCATTTGGCAGATCAAAAATAAAAAATTAAATTGAACTTTTTTTTTGTTTTGATTCTAATTGTTGTTTGAATTATTTGATTGATTTTGTTTGTTTTGTTTTGTTCAAAATGATTTAGCAAATCAATCAATTATTGAGTGGTCTTTTTGCCTAAGTGAAATCCTTTCCTGTAACATTGATTCATAAATTAATGTCAATGTAACACAGATGTTTACCTGTCATTGAATTTGGAATCTTTAAACTTTTTTTACTGGAAAAAAAACAAACAAACAAAATTGAAGGAAATAAAATTCTTTTACTATCACAAGAATAATGAGAAATAATTCAACATTGGAAAAAATTGCAAAAAGAAAACAACAACAAAAAACTTTTTTGAACTTGGTCCATTAAAAAACAAAATAACTTTAATTTCCAGGCCAACAAACCGACCGATTGTACAAAATAGATAAAATAAGATCAAAGATTAAGTTAGAATAGTTTCGATTTTTATTTTTGTTGAAAATTTTTTCAACAATCTTTGTCCGTACGTATGGCGTTATGATTAATCGGCGATTCGACCAGTTTTTTTTCTATTTCTAAATGTTGTTATGTGCAATGTCGATTAATCGAAATTAAAATCTAGATCTATACAATCGTTGCGGATATTTTGTTTGTATACCCCCAAAACGAATGAAAAAGAAGAGAAAAAAACAACACAACTGAAACATATGAGGTTAATTTTTATTTTCATTTTTTCCCATTGTTTCTTTTTTTCAATCTTGGATCTTAAAAAATATATCATCTAAATTATCCTTACACTTTAACTCTCCAGTTCTTTAATATTGTTCGTTGTTTTATTCCCTTCACTATTTCCCTTCAACTTGGATCGACTTTTTAGAATTTTTTTTCTATTTTCAAGTGTTTTGATGTTAACGTAATAAAAGGACAAAGCACTAGTGAAAATAACAACAAAAACAACAACAGTGTACGAATAAATGTCATAATGTCCTTTTTCGATCAAAATTTCACTTGAAATTATTATTATTATTATTATTGGGACATTTTGTAATTTAAAATAAATGATAAAATGTCTATATAGATTTTTCTATTCATTGTATATGGTTTCGAGGTTTCTTTGGAAACAAAATTATAGCCATGTCACAAGTGTCATTTATTAGCCGCTCAGGAAAATACACACACAAAGAATGGTTTTTTGATGATGTGCTTTTCACTTTCTCTTTCTTGAATTCGATTTAGATTTTTTTTTATTTTGTCATCATAAAACTTACCATTGATTTCTAAACTTCCTTCTTTGGCCGCAGTAACAAAACTTGGTGCTTCGGCCGATATTTCACAACGATATTTACCCCTTGTACTTAGATTTACATTATGTAGGAACACTGATTTTTTACTTGATTTACGAATCTATTTTTTTGATGATAATAAAAATCAAATGATTAAGAAAACCAAAAAATCAAATTTTGAAAATCAAATTAATTACATCAACATTGATGCCGGACATTTTTAGATATTGTGTTGGTGGATAATCACGTGGTACATATCTGATTGTTGAGAAAATGAAATTGTCAAAAATTATAGAGTAAAAATTGTTAAAAATAATACGAACCTATAGAATTCGATACCATCTTTATACCATTTAAATGAATAAAGAACATTATCTTCCAAATCATAGTTACAGGTGAGTTCGGCTGATTCACCCACTACTAATGGTGATGGTATATCTAATAATGTAATTTTTAAACAATCACTTATTGGTATGGATGAAATGACTATTATGGTTATGATCAATAGAATATATTGATGAATTAATGTAAACATTGATGATAAAAATAGTAACGATGATGTTGGAAATAATTTTCGATTATGAAAATATTCATATGACCATGAATGCAAATTCATCGATTCGATTTCTGAATGAAATGAGATAATAAGAAAACCAAAGTTAATTTGTAGAAAACTTAAATATTTTGTTTACGTTTTTTTTGCAATAAACTTTTTTCTATCACACAAACAAATGCCAGAACAATGTTTATTTTTTTTAATTCAATCCTTTATAAATATCCTGGAGACCGATCAAAAATACTCCAGCAACCAAATAGATTTGATGAAAATATCTAGATGCATTATCATATTGGTATTATAAATATTGTCGAAACAAAAAACAAAATTTTGCAATCAAATTATTAAAATGATAATAATCATGAGTCATTGAAACTTGATTGTAATCAACCAATGTTCTCATTAATTTCCGATGCTCAACTACGACTATAATATCATCACACATTCCTATCATTGCAAAATTCTTGATATCAACAATTTTGACTGTAATCATACCTAAAATATCATTTGATGATGCAAAAAAAAAAATTTCTCCCACTAATTTTCATTGTTGTGGTTGTTATTCGTCATTGTTTTTTTTCTCATTCGATCTTATTATTTTTGTCAGAACATCATCAAAAATTACAACAAAAATAAAAATAAAAGACATTTCCGATCAATGAAAGAATCCGGACACCGAGAGCGTCAATGAATATGTGTAAAAGAAAAAGAAAAATAAAAAACGGTACTTTCAATCATGATGTTAGTTGGAATAAAAAAAAGGAAAAGCGAATTATTTTAGTTGACAGGCAATGATGAATCGGAATCGAATCATCTTACACATTTGTAAACACAAAAATATAGACATGAAAATGTTCATTGTGGTCTCACATTGCATGATGGAAATCAACATTTGATGTTTTGGATGATGGGATGTTTTCAGTTTTTTTAAACATGACAAATATACGCAAGGGAATTTTCGAAATAATTGGCCCATACAACGATGACCAATCACTCATTTATTTACTAACCAACACTTTTTTTTCTCGGTTCCGTCTATGACTACATTTCATGATGATGATGATGATGATGAATGAACATTGGTCGGATCGTAAAATACAAATAGAATATTTTCATTTTATTTTATTTGCCGTGACCAATTCTTATTCACTTAATGGATCGGACATGACATTGTTGGGTGACAACTTGATGTTGTTGTTGTTTTTGTTTTCTTCTCTTTTTTTTCTCAATCATTTTCAAATAATAATCGGTAATCATCATGTCAATAATCATAATGTGTACAAATAATATGATTCAAAACCAATAATGTTCGAGTATTTATTTATTTATTATTTTGCAGATTAAGAAAATGATCGGTAATTTCGTTTGTCTTTGCAAATCGATGTCGAGAAAAAAAAGGTATTTCGAAAAAAAAGAATTCACTATCACTTTACATACTTTTAGATCAATGTAGATTTTTTTAAAAATAAATATTTATACATACCACAAATCGGATAATAATTTAGTTTCCTAAATTCATCATCTTCTTGTTGATTATCCATTTCTTTTACATATTTATAATTCTGTGTTGTTGATAATTTTGAATAAAATTTTATATTTTTCATTTATGATGAAAAAATGATCAATATTTGATCAATAATAACTGCCCAATAGATTGAGATCATTCCAGAAATTAATCTATTTATGAAAGTAATATACACACAGACATTTTAGCAATAATAATGTTCTCAAAAAACCAAGGTTAATTTTCTGTCAAATATGTGTAGATTTAAAATAAAAACTGATGATAGATGAGGATGATTGACAATAAATGGCATCGAATGCTTATCATTGTTGTATTAATGATTGGATCAATCCCACTTTCAATTCATACATGTTGTTTTTTCTTTTTTTTGATTAACAAATGCGCTCGTATTATATATTTTAAATTGAAATGTAAAAAATCATTAAAATTTTCCATCTCAACAAAATACATATTTTTTATTGTTGATATTAGCAACTATCATTTGGATGTAGCACCGATGTATATCGTTGGAATTATAAATCAATAAATAAATTGCACTATCTGATAACTAGTGTCAAAAATGTAAAAAAAAATAACAAAATTTAATTTTGTGTTGTTAGCCACACATACATAAACAAACAAAAACAAAAATTTTTTCAATAATCAATTTTTAATCAGTCAGAAATCAACAATTCACATACATTCAACACACAAGAACAAGTGGTCGTCAAGAATAGTGATAGATGATGATAATAGAAGAGATGAAAAAGAACATAGTGCATTTATAAGCAACAGAATAAGACCCAATTGGACCCGAAATCAGTACATGGTGTGTGTTTCTTTCAATGTGCGAGAATGAGAAATGAGAATCAGCGGGAGTGAATGAATGAAAAAAAGCTCCCGATAATTATGGGCTTTAATCAAGTATGTCTCTTTGTGTGTGTGTTCATAATATATATGAACAACGGAAAAAATAGAATCTTCTCAATGATTTTGAAAAAAACGACAAGGTCCAATAGAAGAATATCGTTGGTTCTGGTTTGCCGCCATATAATATGACGCCGCCGCCATTCGAATGAATCCAAAACAAATTCTTTTTCTTCTAATATAATGGGCTTATTCATTTGATCCAGAAAGGCGGAGCATATTTCAAACTATTACTTGATCATATTCTTTGATTCGGTTTCAAGAATTTTTCTTTTTTTTCCTACTGGTAAAGAAAAAAACAATGATAATGATGTTTTCTACCAACAAAAGAATTCAATTTTTTTTCGTTTGGTTCCTGTTTTGTTCTTTTCCATTTTGTTTATTCTCATTCATTCATCCATTTAAATACGATTTTTTTTCATTCAATATTATGTGAAGTATCATCATTCAAATTTTATGGTGGTAGCAGTAGCAATAAATTTTCTTTTCTTTTCTCCTTCATCGCAAAATAGACAATACCTATGATCTTTTTTTTGCGATAATGATTTGGTGGTTTGAGCAATTAGTCATCTTATTTTTGGTTTATCGGGATTGTTTTAGTGCAAATTGTTCTTTTTATTTCTTTTTGGTTTATAAATCTATTTGATTTACAAAATCAAAAGAGTAATATGTTTCATTGTCTATGATTGTGGATTTTTTTAGCTAATTTTTTGTTCTTTCGATTTGTGATGATAATCACTATGAATACATTAACATTTCATATCATCATATTTTATAATCTTTTTGTTGATTATATAAGAAAAATATGCATGTTTTCCAACTGAACACTGTAGGTTTAAAAGTATGATCAAAAGATGTGGATACCTGGAAAATGAAACCTATGACAAGTCACCATTAACAAATGAACAAAATCAATAAGTGTGTTTGTTTCCCAAATGAAATGAAACAACATCGGAAAGCAATTTAGTAAATCAAACATATCAAAAATGTATATGCATGTTTCATATGTGTATGTTTTTTTTTCGATTGATGTTGTCACTCCAGTTAGTTAGTCAATCAATATTGTATGAATGATCCGATCCAAAAAAAACCTCAATACTATCATTAATCAAGATATATAGATGATGATAGTGGTAGTAATCATTTTTTTGGCTAGTTACACGAGATCTCGATTCATTCCATATGTTGATTGCCATCATCATCATTATCAAATTTGTATTTGCACATTTGTCAATCGTAAAAACTCATATCAGTCAATCGCATCACATTCTTTTATTGGATGCACTTTGTAGATTGGTTCGATGTTATAGAAGATGTTTTAGTTATTTTCGTTATTAAATAAAAAAAATGATCTAGGTATTAACAATCGTTTTTAATAAGTAAAAAAAGTGTGTATGAATTTTAAAAAAATATCCCAGTTGTCATCGATTAACGACAATCATAATAGCGAACAATGTTATCAAGCAACACTTGGTGAATTTCCCTTTCAAACGACTGGATGAATGAATAAACAGAAAAACAAAAACAAAAAACAAACGATAACGATAACGATAGTAGGAAAAATCATACGATTATGTTTAACAGATACATCGGTTCATGTATTTATGTAATTATGACGTCCAATGTAGTGAATAATGATGACTAATTTGTACCCAAAACGAAGTTATTGTATCCTGTATATTAAAAATATTTTCCCTTCTCTAACAATTTTCCTTCTTTTTTTGTTGAGTTTGCTATGGATATATAAGAACAAACTTGAATTTGCTCGCTCGATCACATCGATTGCTTGTTTGTTTGTTTGTTACTTTTTTTTGTATTAATCAAAGTGAATATCAATGGATCAATCAATGGATAAAAAATCTTCATCATCAATAAACTCTATTGATTATCCCGAATTACCGGCTAAAATGATTATCGAACCGTTACCACAATCAGCTAATCAATCGATTGAAGATTACCTTCGCTATTATGATTCCGTTTGTTCGGCTAATGTTTGGGATGATACAATGGCCGCAATATATCTACCACAATTTATAACTAACCAACGTTTACGATATTTTATTAATGAAATACCACCTGAACAACGTAAATCATATAGGTGGTTACGACAAACATTAATCGATGTTGGAAAATATTGTCCATCACATTCAAATACGGATAATAGCCTTTGTGATCGATATTGGTCAAAGATAAATGATCTTCGTTCACATGTACGAGAAGATTTTTGTCAATTTGGAAAAGAAATTCATGAATTAGCCGGTGAAACTTATCAACATTTAACCAAACAATATGTCACACCTACTGATCGTATGATTAAAAATGTTGTACCCGGTGTATCAAAAACTGTAGTCGATGTATTGAATCGAGTTACATCAGTTGTAGCTGCTACGGCCAATTCTAATGTTCCAACACCAAAACCACCACCACCACAAGAGCCACCTTCGTATGATGATATTTGCAGCCAAACGCAATAAATATAGAATGTGATTCTTCTGAACGAACATTCTGTTTTTTAGCCTACATAAAAACAAAAACACTGATATTTAAAGTATCACATTTTCATTTTGTTTGCATGAGAATTCTTTTTCTTTATCATCTTTCAGGTTTAAATGAAAGTTAGTTCAACAGTCATTCACAATGTTTTGACTATTTTACCGAAAAAGAGCGAATGTTTCAATTTTCCAACCTAAGTCATTTATTTGATGTTATAATTACAATTATTAACGTCTTGTTAAAACATGTGAACACAACGATCCGAGAATATGGTAATTGTAGAGAACCAATGTCGCCCTTTATTGTTACATTTTTTTTCCTATTATTTATTTTTTTTGTTGGTTACCAGCAAGCAGCCATCAATCTCTTTCACTAAAATTGGTTGATAATGGATTCAGAATTCAGGACACTCTATGTCTGTCTGTTACAGCATCTGTCTCATTTGTATAACAATCACTTTTTTTTGGTTTGTCGTTCCACTATTATTCCGTACATACCATAATTTGACAATGTTCGTTATTTTGCAAATGTGAGCTACACTACTAAACGAAAACCATATATGATATTAAACTTAAAAAACGATATTTAAACAATACTTTTTCCATCATGACCAGCGTTGCCTTTATTATCGCGGCCGTAACAATTATCATTTAAGCGTAATAATTAATAATTTTTACACTGAATTTAATTTCATTTAATTTTTTTTTTCGTTGGTCTATCATTTTGAATCCAAACGAAATAAACAGAAAGTATGGATTGAATTATGTAATAATTCGTTAAACAAGATAATGATTGTCGCATTTTTTTTGGAACAGACGATCGTTATTTAAAGCTTTGAATGTAAAGTTTTCGATCCGATTTTTTCTTCACATCCGTTTATAATTTGATTGTGAGGTCATTTGTCACCGAGTCTTTATTGAGATAATTTCACCATATCGAAACAAAATTTTAAATGGATCCAAATATCGGTTGACATTTTAACCGAAAACTTTTCGCTATACCTAAATACGATAAAAAAAACATTCATTTAATTAAAAGTTTTCTGCTTAATGCATCCACACATTTGCATACAATACCACAGAATACGAGTTCGGTTGGTATATTGATTTTTTTCTTCCTTCTACATATATCGACCTCTTTACATGATGATGGCCTCCTGAAATAGTAATGATGGATATGGATAAACATGAAAATCAATCATTGATTCAATAAAATTTCAGATTTCATTGAATAGATTAATCTGTTATGGATATCAACAATGTGATCAACAAAATGGACAAAAAATGAAAAAAATGAGAGCCCGAAACGGTCGCCACCGCCTTTTTTTCACAGTACATTAATCTTATTTTGTTGTTGTTGTTGTTATTATTAATATTCACCTGGAAAATGTTTTCTTTTTGTTTTCAACATAATACCATAATACAAAATTAAATCCAGGTTTATGTTTTGATTAATTTTTTTGTTGTTGTTCAAGTGAAGCTGACCACAATGAATCGATTTCTATTCAATGATCGAATAATGGTTTTTTTTCTTGGCAATAATATTAATTGAATTTTATTTCTGCAAAGTCATCATCATTATCGTCATTGTATTGATTGATTCAATGGGAAAAAAATCTTCCAGTTCAAACTTTGTTTCACTATTTGTATCTAAGGATCTAAATTTAAAATTTTATCATTTTTGGGAAAATGCAAAAAAAACTAAAGATTTTTTAGTTTTCCTCATGATTCACCACCATCATTGAATCAAATTTTGACCATAATACTAAAAAATTGACATGTATGAACATTGTTTTTGTATGTGATACGAATAATAAGGGTTCCAAAATTGACATTATATTTTTTTTTTGGATAGAAAATTTTGAAACAGCCGAAATGGAAAAATATGATTTTTGGTTCATATTGTATTATACAGTGAAAAAAACATATTCGGTCGAATAGAAACAATTTGTTTTGTTTCATTTATTCAGTATTTTATTCTATGAAAGGGGATGGGAGTGTTTTGAAAATGTTAGTTTTATTATAACCAAGTATTAATGATAATCTAGATGTTGGCATTCATGTGTGTGTGTGTGAGTGTGGAGATTAATTAGATTCCAGAAATAATGATAATAATAATAAAAGGAAGAATCAAATAACAAACACAGTCAATCTTTATGTTCGCATTGTGAACATTATACAATTTGTTTTCAACAAAAAAAAAATTGTGGTTGTTTTTTTCTCATATATTAAAATTATGATTAAAGAAGGAAAAGATTCATTTTTGTTTTGTTTTTGTTTCAAAACTAAAGAATTGAAAAAACGATAAAAGTCGATTTGAATAAAGAAGGAAAAAACAAAGATTTCATTTCGAAACAATTACACACAACCAACATAATTGATGTGATCTAATTGAAAGAAAAATGTAGAATTTCCCAAAAAAAACGAAAAATCATTATCATCATCAGATTCTTGCCACAATGAATTTGAATTATATGGAAAAAATATGATATACAAAATGATCATGTTATGTAAAAATGAAAAACAAAAAACAAAAAATTTAACCAATGTTATGGATTTTTTTTTTAATTCTTTTCAGTTTAGAACCAGAAAAAAAATATAAAAAACCCAACGACATTCATACATACATATGGCCCTTATCTCATTGTATTTGTTGTCGTCGACAAACCGACATATGAATTTAACATACATAAACAATACGGCGGCGGATAATAAGCGTCAATTTAGATAAGAACGAAAATAAAATGAAAATGATTCAATATCATCATCAGCTATAAATGCTGCCATTGTTATTGTGTTGATAATCATAATTCTATGATGGTGACAATTAATATTATATATATACTACTACTGTACAAGACGATTATAATTTGCATATAGCTTACAATAATATACCGTATTCATTTTGAACATTGACATGACAATAATCATAAACAATCATGACAAACCGTTTGTTTTTTCTTTGTTAAAGGAATACATAGACATTAGCAGAAACAACATCGGATCCATTCTTGTTTTTTCTGGTCATACTGTAACGGAATATTCATTATTAGGGAATATATACAGCAACAACTAAGCAAATGAAAAAAATGGAGCTATTGTTTTTTTTTGCAAAAATAATCCATGCTTTTAATTTTTTCTAAACGATTTCTGAAATGAAAAAAAAAATGAAATATGTCTGTGTGTTTGTTTAAACATAAATTCATTGGTCGATTGATGAGATTTTTTTTTATTCTATTCCAAAATGATTACGATAATTTAAATTTTGATTGAAAACAAAGCTTTTCAAACTGGTTGACTGGTTGGTTGTTCGGGTAATCATTCATTATTTATACAGTAACGGATTTCACTTTTTCCCTTCGTTTTTTTTCTTCATTGTGGCCATGATATAATTGTCACATATTGAAGTAATTATTTTCTGGACAACCATTTCAAGATGTTGTGCAAATTTAAACAATCTTTTGCCAAAAATCATCGATCTACATTGGTCGTTGACAATAATAAATTTTCGTAATTGTTTGTTACGAAAATCTTCAACCATGTTTGAATTGAGACGCTGTAATTTTTTTTTGTCTTTCTCTCTTTTTTTTTGATTACTGTCTATGCCATCCGATGTATTCATTGAATATTTCAGTCACGTTGACTTTCTCTCTTGAAAAGTCGTATGTGTAACAACAAAAAACAAAAATCGCTCAAAATGTCCATAATCCACCATCAAACGACCAATGAACATATGATGACAACCTCTTTTTTTCCTCGTTCCAAACAGTTATGTAACCATTTCACATTTTATTCCTATTTTTTTACTCAGGAAAAAAACATTGTCCGGTTAAAGCTGGTCCCAAGAAACCCATAGTTTGACTGTAAAACAGTTGTTTTGGAGTGCAGCGAGCCCGAAAATAGGAAAATTTCGTTGAGTGAATTATGATGACCTGCAAAGTGGATATGTTTGTATCTGTGTATGTTCATGGATTTGAACAACGTAGGAAAAAAATGATGATCATTAACTATGGATGGCTGAAATGGAAATTTTTTTTTCGTTCTGTTTTGTTATATTTCAGCAGAATCATTCAATTGAAACAAAGCAAAATACAAAATGACCAAACGTGTAATAATCATTTTAATTTCTTATCTGGTCAGATAGTTAGATCACTAATAATAAAAATAATAATGATAATGATTAGATAACGATGACGAATATTAATAACCAACCAGCTATTATGATACCTTTGTTGAATATCAATATGTTTATCAATAGGGTTTTTTATTTTCTTTTTTAGATTTTAAAAATAAAATTCAACTTATATAATTTTATATAAAACGAAAAAAGTTTGTAAATAATTTTCAATGTTTCAAAAAATGATTATCAATCAAGGTGTTAATTAGATTGACACTAATCGATTATACCGTTATGTGTGTGTGTGTGTTCGCTATCTTAATTTCATTTTGGTCATTATAATCCAGGTACTATCTCTTATGTTTTTTTATTTTCTCATTTATTCGTATTAATGTTAAAAATAATAATAAAAATTACATTTCATTTATTCTTTTTTCTGTCTCTCTGAAAATACAAAAAAAAAAACAAAAATGATAATGATGATGGCGATGAAATTCACTTTATGATTATATTCTATTCATTTTATTCTGAATTAGATGAACTTGTAGTATGTCAATGTACATGGTATATGGTGAAGAATCCATAATCATTGTGGTGGTTTTATTTCATTCGCGGCAAAAAAAAATTATTATTATTATTATTATTATTTTAACAATTAATTCCTGTGTCCGTCATGTTGTTGTCATTGATATCCGTGTTAGTTCATTGTACACTATCCATATTTCACTTTTCTTTTCTCGTTATTTTTTTCTCTCGTTGGAACAAGGTGAATATAATTAAAGTGATTAAAACACAACCACACACACACACACAGAATTTAATGTGTTCAGTTATCGAAATAACACAGACAACTCCACTACCACCACAACTATTAACAACAGCAACAACAATGATAAATTCTCTATCTCATTTCTTCTGATTCATTATCATGAATCGTTGTTGTTGTTGAATTTTGTTAAAGCTAAATTAATGAACATGCCCAAAATGAAAATTACTCTTGAATATACCGAATCATTATCATCATCATCATCATCGTATACCTATTAGTCATAGTATCAAGCATTAATTATTATCACTTTGTCTTTGTATGTAAAAAAAAATTCTTTTATTCATTCTTTTCCTATTCTTCATTCATTCATTTATTGTGTTGTCACGTGAAAGAAAAAAAAGGTAAGGCAAGGAAAAAAACTCGATGACAATGGAATTTGTGAAGAAAAAAAAGAACAAAAAAAATACTGAATGAACTTTTCATTTTTTTTCAACAAGCTTGATGATAGAGTTTTTTCTCGTATTAGTTGTGTGTGTGTGTGTTGAATAAATATATCCGTAATGACATATGGCTGGAAAAAGATCAAGAATAATAAAAGTCGATTCTACTTTATACGAATATTATCCATTATTATTTGATTTAAACAATTTTTATTATCTATCTATCTAGACTTTGAAATAAATAATTTACATTTCATCACTCGTCAACGATGATTCGTTATTTGAACAATACAAGTTTTTGTGTGTTTATCATCTTGTCTTTGGAATAGAAAAAAAAACAAACATTGTCCATTCAATGATCATCATTCAGTCTGGTCACACAAATTTATCCATACGAGATATAGGTGTTAACCAGATTACATAACCAAACTAACAACAAACCAGAATCATTTGTTTGTTGTTTTTTTTTGTAAATCTTTTGTTTGTTTTTTTGTTTTGTATACAAAATACATTCTTTTTTTGGATCAAGAAAATCTCTATTTACAACATAATTGTTATTATTAATATGATCATTATGTTTAAATCATTTAGCTTTAATGGATTCTGGTTTTGGTTGGAATTTTGTTTGGTTACTTTTATATGATGAGGTGGGTGAGGTTCGAATTTGGATTGAATCTAACAAAAAAAGATGAAAACAAAATTGTTTAAATTGTTGTTTATACGATGTTTTTTGTACCATAATTATGTCTTCATTTTCATTTAAAAGTATAAAAACATTAACAAACCTTTTAATTTCATCGTTTCTATCATTCAGAATTATTCAAAACTATTCTGTTGATGGCAAGTATTTTTTTTGGCTGTTTTCTCAATGTTTGTTAGCCATAAGAATATGTAATTGTTTAAATGAAAGTTTTATTTCTATTCTATTTATGATATTGTTTTTTGTTTTTTCTGTTTGTCCGGTAGATTTTAATTAAATTTTCAAATGTTTATAGATAATGATAATGTGTTTGTGTGTGTGTGTGTAAATACTTGAAACATGACAATAAACACATTTTGTACAAAAGAATCCCATTAACACACATTCACTATCCGATATTTTTACTTGAAAAAAAATTCGGGTCGCCATTCTCATCGAGAAAAAAAAATTTCCCATGTGAATTACTAAACATTTTTTTTCATTTTCCACCGGATAAAAAAGAAGAATGAATGAATTCAATTCCATATTCTTACCAAACAACAACAACAACAACAGATAAAATAATCATCGATAATATCCAGAATCTTGAACAAAAATTAATTCATATTTTAAAAATTGAGACCTTTTGCTTTGACTGTTTGATAATTTGTAATAAATATCTATATTTTCAATGTAGATAATGAGTGAAAAAAAGGTCAATATTATGAATTATTCATATTGATACTGTGTTTACACTTTTTTTTCTGTATAGCTATTGTTGTTGTTTTTTTTAATGGGATTCTAATTTTTCCGAATAAATTATAAGAAAATAGATAAGCAAAACAAAAGTATCAACAAAAATACATGATTGTAATCATGTTCTATCAATGGATTATGTTTATATTAAAAAATATACAAATGAACAAAACAGAATATAAAACTTTAGATGTCCGAATAAACGGAGTGAGAAAAGAAAAAATAACTTTTATCAAATATAAAGACAAAAGAAAACTTTTACGGTAAAATACATTCCTGGTTTTGTAATATTTTTGATCTTCATCCCATATGGTTTTTAATATTTATTTAAATTTTTTTTCTATTCTTTTTTTCATTCATAAGACAATCAGCTTATGTTTAGCTGCTAATATTAATGCGTAATATATACTTCGGATCATACATTGTCTGAATATATATGTTTTGTTCCATTTTCAATTTTATTATTTTATTTTATTTTGATTACTAAACAACAACGGTTCAATTCGAAATGATGATGTTATATATAATCCTTATGTATCTTTAGTGATTATTATTATGTATTCATGGATAATAATATTTTTAGTCAAGTCCTGATGTATTACGCGAATATATTACATTAGATAGAGATTTGATCATAGGCTATTTATATTTTATATTTTTTTTTATAAAAAAAGTATTCAATTTTTTGTTTGTTTGTTTGGGAAAATCCCGGTCATCATCATTTAAATTGAAGTCTATTCTTTTACGCTTTATGAACAAATGTTTTTGTTCATTCAAAGAATTGAAAATGAAATTTGTCATTGAATAAGATGGATAAGAAATGTTAAATTTTTTATTCTGTAATCATAGAAAACATTTTTTTTCAAATGAAAACTGAATATTTTCTTGGATTTATTTCCATTTTGGATAAATTTCTATTATTTATAAAGAAACATTTCAAAACAAAAAAAAATTATCAAATTGAATTGATATCGATGCTAATAATAATGGTCAGTTGTTGTTACAATCAGGCTTGCAACTTTTAATGGTAACTTTTATTCATGTTGAAAACAACAAAAAAAACAATAAAAACTAATTTAGGTAATAAAATGTAACAAAAAATAAAAATTGTCACAAATGTTTTATTCTACTGCATTTATTTACCACCATTATTATTATTATTATTATATGGTATTTATAGATTCCAAAAACGTTTATTTTCTTTGTAAATTTTGAATTGCAATTAATTTGTTGTAAACATAAGATCAAATCTTTTTTTTTGCTTTTCGACAAGTCAAGTGTAGTCTTTTTATTTCATTCATGAAATTGTTCTGTTGTGACAAACGAAAAAAAAAATGATGAACAAAAAACAAATTGGATTATCTTTGTGATTCTTTGTTTTATGATCTGAAAATTATCAGAATGATGAAAAATAAACAAAGAAAAATAATTCTTATACGATTTATTGTTTCAGTTTAATTCAAAATCTCTGTAAAACAATCATTTAACTAGAAATTTTCATGGTAAAAAAAAGTGAATGAATAGAACAGAAATGAACGAATGAAATAATTTTGTTTGGGGAAAACTTTAATTACCGATAAAAGATGAAATTCAACAGGTTGATACCCTGAGATAATTATTTTGTTTATTCATTTTATGATAAAATAAAGCCTCGAAGGGTTTTTTTTCATTTCTCAATTTTACTTCCAATAAAATTTAGTTTTTTTTATAAAATATTACTACCGGTTTTCCAGTCGCATTAGCAAAACAAAAACTGGAAACATTACATTTCTCCCTCTATTTACATTTAGGATCTAGCGACAAGATTTAGATGAAATGTAGAGTACATTAATAAGAGTATAGAGTGTGTGATTGAACATCATCATTATTCAACATTAAGATGTAATAGCAAGTAATATTTCAATTTTTCATTGATGGTCATCAATAGTTTCCTTCAGATATCGACTGTCATTGTTTTTTTGTTTTATTTTCTATTCGAATAAAATCCTAAAAGTAAATATTGTTCACAAAAAATTCATCAAACCGAAACGAACAAACAAATTTCTTGCTCTCTTACCTTCATGAAAATTAGTCTACCTTTTTTTTCTACATTTAGGTCAAACAATTTTACTTCAATAGTGATAATTAGACACATTTTTTTCTTATTATTTGTATTATTAACATCCAATCTGAACGTTTCCTTTTCAAAATTGTCAATTTTTTTCCACTTTTGTCAACATTGTTAGATAAATGAGCCATAGATTTAAATGTTAATGAGCAGTGAAAAAAGATCAACAAACACGTATGGTATTTATTCATATCATATGAATCGAATATTCTCGTTCAACACATCGTTTTGATCGCACATCAAACACAAACAACACGCTTCGTCATCATTCTAAGTATTTATTAAGATTCTATACTACGGACTAAATATAGAAATGTTTTTTCATAAATTCATCAAATGATGAGTCGCATTTATTTTCCCTTTACAATGTGGAAGAAAAATTGAACATCATTCACACATTTTGCCAGATGTAATCATAACAAGAACAACAGAATTTCGTATAAACAATCTTCAGAAATCAAGTGATTCATTTAATACTGAAATAATAAGCTTGCCCAGCAACAATTCAATCGATATGGCTTCTTCGGAAACACAAGCAAAAACGGTGAACTACAATGAAATCATGAATTGCGGAAATAGTGATGATTATGATGAAGGATATTCATCGAAATATAATCTAGATTTGGTCGATTTCATATCAAATGATCATATGTCATCATTAAATCATCCATTACATCCACAAGCGATAGACAAAGACAAAACATCATCATCAACACATCAATCGATAAACTATTCATCACCGATGAATTCTTTCAATCCACAATATTCAATGTTAAGCTTATCAAAAAGTCAGATTAGACCAGAATTATATCAATTAGCATTTGATGTTCAAACTGATCATGATGGCCAGGATGATGATGATGATCAACAGCAGAGCAGTAGCGATTGGTCGACAGTCATCATTGATGGTAAGTAAAATTTATTCTTCATATAACAATTTCATTAAAGTAATAAACGAATTTTTGTAGAATCGCCCATTACAAGTTATCCACAACCAACAAAATTATCGAAATCACGGAATACGGAACCAAAAACCTTATTGGTAACACATGATCAAAAAATTGACCAAAATCGTACAGGAATATGGATGACAAAAGCAGCACAACTTAATCCAACCGCTTCATCATTCATACGTGGTACAAATATGATTACATCACAGCCAGTTTGTTGCTGTTGTATTATGTGAAATGATGATAGCTCATCTGTGATTATATTAAAATTCATGTTTTCAACATTTATCATTTGAAATATTTGTTAAATTTTTTAATTGGGAAATCATTATTTAATTGAATTAGTTGATAAATTGATTTTAAAACAAAATTTCACTATAATGCCATCTATTGTTAAAGATTTAAAACTAAGAATAAATGGCGCGTTCCATTCATTCATAATTATTCGAAGAAAACAAAATTTTTATTCAGAAGCCATTGATGATGATGATACGGGATCAATCTGAGTGATGTCCTCAATTATCATACATTTGCCCATTGCATCAGGATAGATTGGTTTAGGCATCAAACATCGATAACCAGGACAGCATTGAAGTCCGGCAATTCCACCACAATTTTCTTGATTACATTTGAGACCCATTGCTAAAACTATGTATGAATAATTTTATCATTTAATGAATTTAAAACAAAATGAATCTTTGATGTTACCAATGAAAGTTGATAGGATTATAATGTTTAACACAAGTTTATTCATGATGATTAATTTAATACTGTTTTTACAAATACGAATAGTCTCTTTATATAGTTTTTGTTGTTGTTGTTTTCAGGATTGTTTTTTTTTGGCCACATAGCCAGAATTTATTGCATGAAATTTATTCGATTCAATCAAGGACAAGTCACGTATCAAAACAAATTATTGGCTATATAATAATAATTAATATTTGGTTAAGATATCGAAAAAAATGAATTTATTGCAAGACAAAAAAAAAATCAAAAAATTTAATAACAATTTGACAGTAACATAATTAATGATGTCGTCTGATTTCAAACGGAATTTTTTCAAGATTTGAATTGAAAGATTGATTTCGAAATTTTAATAATTCTAATCGGTCATAATATAAACGTCTATAATGATGATGATTTTTATTGTGATTCATAGTAGCCATCGTAGTTTGATCGTCCAGTTTATTCGAACATATTTGAACATAATTTAATAACTGATCTATTTGTGATCTTTTTTCCAATGTTTGGGCAATTAAATTTTTCAAATATGGAAAATGTTTTGATGATTGAGCATTATTATGGATAGAATTCAATATATGAGCAATTTCATTCATTTTCAAATTGATTTCATTTTGAATTTGTTTAATTTTATTCACGTTATTTTTTATATTCTCACGTATGACATCTGCATCCATTTTTTATAATTCAAATGTTTCATTGATATCTAACGACAAAAAAAAAAGAATTAATGTAATCAATAAAAAAATGGACAAAACTGAATTGATAAATATTAAAAAGAAAATTAATAATAAAAATCAAGGCCAGAAATGAAATAAAATTTTTAGAAAAAAAACTCTTGCATGTCCTTTATGAACAGCATATCGAATCAGAGAATATTGGGAGAGAGAGAGAGAGAAAAAAAATAAATCAAACGAAACAGAGAAAGAGATGAATTCATTCGATTTATAAAATTTTGAGTGTAAACAACGATATTTTGTGTGGTTGGCTTGTCCATTTGAAGAAGCAAAAAAAAAGAAGAAGAAAAAGCTAAGAGCGCGTGCGTGTTATGTGTGTGGCAAATTTGGCACCGAATGAGAGAATGCTGTGTGTGTTTGTGTGTTCGTGTGTGGAAGCAAAGGCAAGTGTGCTCGATGTTAAAAATGCTGACAATTGATCTGAACTCTAAAATATTTTTTGTTGCTACTCAATGTAAAAAAATAAAAACAATCTTATAATCTTTATTGAAGTTATTCATCATTAATTCATATGATTGATTCATTTTCATTTGTTGATAATTTTTTTTTATCTTAATTATTTCATATTTGGTCGAATCAATTTGTGAATCAAGAATTAAGAAATTATAATCAAAATTATCGGAAACGAATAATCGTCCTCATCAAATGTATTGATTCGATAAAACAAAGACGAATAGTATTATTCTCTTATATATAACAAATATTAATAAGACGAAACAGAATGGGTGACAATCATTATAATAAGTATAGCAATGAATTTCAACATCCATCACATTATCAAGTAAAAGCAAATGTTACATCGAACAATGGTTCGAATCAACAATTTGGCTATGATGTTAATGCAGCCAATCATTATCATCATTCAATGGTTGGAGCAATCGGAACGCCCGGTTTCGAATCAAATACACATTTAAGTTCCTTGTCAAATTGTGTGAAACGTTTACAAACACAATTGAATCAATATTTGACAAAGATTATTGATGAAGGATCAGATGGACCCACTAATTATAATCTTGGTTCAGGTGAAGTACTGAACAGTCATCTGATGGAACAGTATTCATCATCTGGAATGGGTGGAGGAACAGGAACGACGACATCATCAGGGACAACATCACCGATTTCTGGTATAGTTACCGCACCACCTATGCCAATAAATCCATCCGGTCATAGTTCATATGGTCATCAGACGGTTCCGAATATAGCCGCTGATCAAGCTGCAGTCAATAATGGCTATAGCTATTATAGTAACTATCCCACAAATTATCCGGCTTATCCAACCGGACCAAATCCTTATCATCCTCATACACATCATCATCCAGCAATGACATCGGCTGTCGATTATTATAATCAACAATCACATCATCTTTTACAGCAACAACACCCACCACCATCCTCATCATATGCAAATTTTCAAGAACCAAAGAGCAAAAAACAAAAAAATAAATAAAAGTGAATAATCTACATCCTGTTGGTAGGGGATTGCATCTTATTCTTTTTGTTTGCTTCATGAATTTTGCATTCTGAACTTAAATAAGGATCGCTGTCCGGATGACCGACACACTGAATCTTTGAACAATTTTTTCCCTTAATTTTTCTACTGTATATTATTATGAACGATTATTATAAAAATCGTTGATCATCGATTACAATGTATTACTATCAATTATAATTACTATATTATTAACTCTGATATGGTTTTATTATGATTCAATTTGTCTGCTTCGATCTTAATATTTTTTTCCTTCGTTTTTTTTTGTATTATTCTTAATTTTGTCCCAACATGATATTTTTCATTTTATATGTTCAACACATGCACATACACACACCAAAAAAAATGGGAAAACTTTTCATAAAATTATTAATTAATTATTATGGATATAATTTAACTCATTATAATTCAGGCAGCAACAAAAACAATGATAAAAAAACCAGTAATACTGTTTAAAGTAAACAAAATTCGAAACAAAACAAAAAACAACAATATGCCACTCCTAGCCTAAATATTATATAATTAAATTATAAAATTTTCGAATGTCGAATGAAGACAAACTTGAATAAAAAAACAAGTAATCAAAAATGAACTTTTATTTATGGTTGTGGATTTTTTCGTTATATTTTCTTATCAATTTGAAATGATAGTCATCGACTTGGTGATGATGATTTGACGAATGATGCACTCTATCGAATGATCAATTTATGGGTTTTTAGTAGTGAGCTTAACTGTTGAGAGTATTTTGTGTATTATTAAATATTTCGACATTAACTTGACAATCATGGATGTCCAAAAACAGAATCAATCAAATGATGATGAAAATATTCAAAAACGTTTGGATCGAATTAAAATTAATGTGAAAAGTTATCCCGATTTTCCAAAATCGGGTATTATATTTCGGTAAGTAAATTGACAACAATATCAAAATAACAATCAATAAATTGAAAATTATTTATCGAATTTTCAGAGATATTTTCCCTTTATTTCAGGATCCCAATCTTATTGACGATGTATTATACATTCTTAAACATCATATTAAAAACAATGTCAAAAATTATGACACTATTATTGGACTTGAATCTCGTGGATTTCTTTTTGGTCCATTATTAGCCTATGAACTTCGGGTACCTTTTGTACCGATACGAAAAGCGGGAAAACTGCCAGGTAAAGTGGAATCGATAGCCTATAATTTGGAATATGGTTCGGATAAATTTGAAATACAGATTGATTCGGTGAAACCGAATTCAAATTGTATCATTATCGATGATTTACTTGCAACCGGTGGTTCAGCAAATTCGGCCGTCAAATTAATTAAAAAATGTGGTGCAAACGTTGTCAATGTTATTGTTTTGATTGAATTGATCGATCTAAAAGGTCGGCTACAATATCCAGAGCCAACATTTTCGTTGGTAAAATTTTGAATATTTTTTTGAATCTCAATTAAAATGAATTTTTCTAAAAATTTTTATTCGAACGAATTTTCGCCTGTTATTTCATTTATGAATGATAGAATTAAAATTCTTTTTTTAGTATGATCATAGCGACATTCTGCGGTGATGAGCGAAAATAAAATCGGCGAGCAGCTCCAAAACGCGGACAACTACGACGACGACGACGGTTTACCATTGCAATGTGGAATGAGATTCGATTGATGTCCAAAAAAATCCTTAGTTTTTTTACACTCAAACATATTCCACTACTGTTTCGTATGCTATGTGTTGAGATACATGGTTCTTTTCCAATATATCCAAAAATCTTGATGCGCTAGCTTCACGTAACAATCCAGTTCTTTTATTTATTCTTTTGGTAAGATTGTCGGTATTTCGCTTTGCTTACCACAAATTCACGTTCTTGTTTTTTCATCATGAAGTGATCATCGTGAATAAATATATTCAATGTAAAAAAAGAAAGAAAATTCTTGTCGCTTTTGTGTATTTTTGTTTGTGTGTCTGTTTTTTTTTGTTTTTTTAATTTGTCGTATCGTTATTCAGGTTTTTCTTTGATTCTATTTGGGATGGTTAATAAAATACCACAGAATCAAGAGAAAAAACAATTATTGAACCTTTTATAGATCAATACATTGTGTAGTGCGTACATATTTCATAATAATTGAATAGAAATAAAATTTAAGTCAACCGTTTTTGTCCATCCAACAATAATCTGAGCATAGAATCAAAACAAGTGATTTCTCAGTGATTGTCATCGACGACGACAACACAACAATACAGCGTTGTCATAATCATTGGTTTCGCTTTATAAGTTCCAAGTTTTTATTTAATTGTGCTCCCAATTAAGAAAACATCAATTTGCCATTACATCGAATCAACATAACCATTTTTTCAATTTAAAATCTTTATCCTAAATAGTTTGGTTAAAACAAAACTATTATTTTTTTTTCTGCGAAACAAAACTCGAATCTCTATATCAATTGAATATCATGAACATTGAACAAAGCAGCGGCAGCAACATTGATTACGGCAACATCAATACCAATGATCCTGCATCAAAGATTCTTTTTCTGGACACATTTTCTTCGGCGAACCTTGATAATGATTTTGAAGTCAGTAGCAAATAATCATCATTTTTCCTGTGATGAATGTTTTCATTGGTTTTGTTTTTGTTTCTAAATCGCCAATAGGATATAAATAACAAAAAGGAACCGAACGTTGGTCTTGTACAATTCATTTGTCCTGTTATCATTCATGAGATAAGAATAATTCCTTTATCAACATTAGTTTCAGCCGAAAGTCTTCGCAGAGTTCATCTTGGGTATGGCCATTATGTTTTCGTTGATTAAAACCAAAATTTTCTTTTCTTTTTCCATTCATTTATCAGAGCAACTATACCCTCTTCATTTGATATACATTTTTATGTGAACGAGCTAACAGCAAAAGAATCTTCCACCTTTTTGGACATTGGATGGTGCGTTTTTGATTTTGATTCATTCTTTTATTACATTTTTTCACATTTTTTTTAAAGTTTTTCTTACAAGGAACATGAAAACCATATATTCAAACCGAATGTTTCTGTTGCTACGGATGGCCTATTTTTGCGTGGTCATTTTGAATCAGTCACATTAGTTGTTTTAGGTGAAGTGACTAATTTATCATCTTTAATAACTAAAGAATCAACCGCTTCTAGGATATCTAATGATATTAATATTGATAATGATGAAGATTCTAGAGCTAGCTATTTCGATGGTTGTATCGTCGATATCAAAGAGCCAGATGATACTCAAGATTATATAGAAACCGAAGTAGGCAAACTTATTGGCGATTCATTACCACCGAATAAAGATGATAGCGTTTCGTTGACCACATCAGCCAAATCTCAACATCCTGTACAGGATGTTCATTCATTGTCTCCTAGTCCTGAAAATGTAGCACGTATCCTATCGCCATCACCTTCGCGTCATCATTATGGTACCCACAATCGTGATCTTTCTGCTACACCACCGCAATCGTTGTCGTTTAAAAGTCATTCCAATTCATCACGAGAAAATCAATTGCGAATAACAATCGGAAAAAAATCTTTAAGCCACAAAGATTATGTTGACGATGAAGATGATGATGATGATGTGCACAGTGATGATCGAAAAAAATATCGTCCACCATCATCAAAATCATCTGCGAGTTCTATCTCACCAAGCAGTAATAGTTATTCCCTTAAAAGTCGCATCGCTTATTCATCATCATCGATAGCTAATAAAAATTCATATTCAAAAAGTGGATCAATATCTAATCGTAGATATCGATCAAGTGTTGAAAGAGAACGTAGTGATGAATTGAATTCCACGCCATCGTCTAGTCATCATCGTCATCATCATCATCATTATCGCAATGAACGTTATAATAATTCTCCCTCTACATATGGAAAATATTATTCCTCCCAACGAGATTTTCATCAGCATTCAAAAAGATCAAGAGAACACTCACCTTCAGCAACAAATGCCCTCTCAAGTCGACCATCAAAATATCGTTCCAGTGTTAATAAATATGCACATGATTCTTATCGTTCCCGAAGCAATAGTAAAGATGTTGATAGTGATCATGAACATCAACAGCATCGATTATCTCCTTATGGAACAAATATCAATCATTCAAGATCGAATCTTAACCGGCATCATGAAATAGACAATTATTACACTGATGATTATCGTAGACACCGACAACAACCTCGTCATCGAAGTATCAGTTTGGAAAAACAAGATCGTGGTAATAATTTAAACAGCCGCAGCAACTTACATCGTAATAGAGGTAATAGCCGTGATATGGATAAATGTTCCCACACAATTGACTCGTGTTTGACAAGAACGCGTAATAATGTTTCTGGTAGCTATAAAGATAGCTACAGTGATAATAATAGTCGTGATCTAATTTCGCCTAAATCATCTTCGAACAAATATCGCAGCTATCATCATTTATCCGATCGTGTGCGATCTCGATCAAAAGACCGTTCACGATCATTATCACCGTTGACAGTGTCAAGTAGTAAACGCAATAAACGTGATCATTCAGAACACTTAGGCAAATCTTCGCATTATCGTCGGGATTCCAATTCGTGTGATCGTAATGATTCTATAGATTCGCCAGATCTTAAAAAATCGCGATACAGTACTCCAAGAAGTGTGAATATTGCTTCACCTAGTTGTGATAGTGGTTCTTCACCGATTTCCGTTGCAAGTCAACACAATGAAGGCACACACTACAATAATGATAATGATCAGGATAATCGACCAACTTCTTCCAAAGCAGATATCGAAAGTATTGCTTCACCTGTATCACCAACCGATGATGATTCAACCATGAATCTGATAGGATTAAAAGATTCACAAACATCACCCTCACCTTTGGCGAACATATCTCCTCATTCATCAATATCAAATATATCATTGGATCAACTTGATTGTGATTCTAAAACAACAAATCCCGAAATTTCTAATGATAACATCGGCAATGATGTTGACAAAGATAGCGAAATTGGCTTGAAAAATGTTGATGGTGATAAAGAAATATGTAAAAATGAAAATAATTGCGATGACAAATCGAATGTACTCAAAAATGACGTTTCTAAAGAATTATTCGAACCGCTTTCCGGCTCCGATATGGATGATGATTTTGATGATAATTTTGAACAGATTAGTACATCTTCCGATGTTGACGCGGATAATTTGGAAGATGATCAAAACGGTGAAAAAACCTGTAATGCAAAAGCTGAACTGGAAATAATTAGTAGTGATGAAGAATATGATACAGATTTGAATGCGGCATTAGCTTCTGAAAAAGTGGAATATGCTAAAAACTATTTGGATACCACTGGTGTTGGTAGTAAATACGATGATGATATTGATAATGAATTGGATTTGAACAAAAATCTTTTCGATCCATTAGCTGCCAATCAATTAAGTGTGTTGAAATTCCCTTTCAATACTAATAAAATGACTACATATATTGATCTTAAATTGTTCAGATCTATCATTGAGTTTATGCACGAAAATTTTTCCATCCTTTATTCGTCACATGAAGAACAAAATCGTCGAATTCTTATTCAAGAAGAATGGGTGATAAATGTAGAAAAATTGGCTACCGACATAATGAAATTAACCTGTCCAATATATTATTCATTCAACGAGGATTTGGAAAACGTCTCGGGAACCTCAGAACAAGATTTTGAAAATCTGATTCCCATTTTAATTTCAATCGCCAAAGATGGACTCGATTTTGATCTGGCACTTGCACAAAAGAATACTTATAGAGTACGTCATATCAAAGCTGGAATCAAGCTTCTGATTGCTTTGTTTAGTTCATTTGACATACGTTCCTCATCATCTATAACTGAAAATGACAATGCGATATTATTCAAGCGATTATTAGAAGAAAATTTACCATACCATTTGCTTAAACTATATGAAAAGCCATTCATGACACTTCCGCTCAGGTTATTGATTCTGAACGGATTGATTGTTATCTGTGATCACGCTGAAGGCGTTGACTATTTGTGCCATCGAAAATTTCAATGGACTAATGATCTAGATCAAAACGTGAACGATGAAAACAACGACCAGAAAATGCCATCAATTGACGTGTTAAATTTGAAAGATGCTACGTGTTATCAATATATTTTATCATTGATTATTAAACGACAAAATTCACGTCTACCTTCGGTATTTGAAGAGTTATTGAACAAAATTCATCTATACGAATTGTTTGAAACATTTTCCGTGTTCAGTGAAAACGTGTTAGACATCAATGAAGGTGGTAATCATTCATGGTGCAATATGACGACCGACAAAATAGATTTATTGCCTGCAATGTTATCTCGAATGATCAACTATTTTGAAATCATCTCTAATCGCATACACCGACCATTACGTTTTCTGCCGTATATTTGCCAATATGAAATCAAAACTACTGTCAATGCATCGATTCCATTACTATTGCTTTCGACATCTAATTCTCGTCCACCAGATGTGCCCAATACTGATCAATTTGATTACATTCATGATCGTTTCCAATGTAAACAAACATATTGTTCGTCATCAAAAATTGGATTCAATGCACAAAAATCTTTTTATCGTTTTTTTAAACATTTTAATCTATTCGATTCTTTGATTCGATTATTGAAGTTCCTCAAAACAACGGATCATACCTGTAACGCCCATCAAAAGTTTATTTGTGATAAAATATTGACATTATTAGACATCATTACATCGCATCAACAGGGCTTAAAGTTTCTGCTGGAAGATTCATCAAATATCCATAAAGTAAACGCTATTCATTCAATTTTGACTGACTTTGCATCAACACATAATCAATGTAGTCAAAGATTTGTTGATTTTGGCATCAAATTCATTACGAGGTATTATTTTATTAGTCGAATCATTTTAAAATGTATTAATTCTTTATTTTCAGGTTGTATACATTCAATTTGGTTGACAAAATACTCTACAATATATATTTGTTTCAAAGGGAAAACTTGAAAAAATCGGTCACAAAAAACAAACTAGTTGATCCTTCTAAAAATAGTGATGTTATTGATTCGCTTCTGCGTTTGTTCATGATGATCCATTTCAAAAAAGCCATGTTTCGTGATATAGTCGTATCAATTCTTACATTGGAGCACAATTTCGATGCTGTTCATTCATTCATAATACCGATTACATCCCAATTTGATCCAAACAGCCCTCATTTTCTTAATGAAAAGAAATTAAATCTGGATTCAACATCATTCATCTATGCCACAAGAATTGCTATCGCGTGTGTTCAATATCTACCAGAGAAGAATTTATTACATTTCTATGAAACCTACGGTAAATCATTACTAAAAAACAGTGAAAATGTACAAAATTATGTGCAAAATTCATTGATCAAATTACATCGATCAGATATATTTCAAAGTCATGTTCTTAAATATTCAATGCTCATGAATTGGATATCGCCATTGAAAAATGATAATTTTAATTCTCATGATGAATTGACATTGCGAAAGTTTGTGACCATTTTGAAAAAACATCATGATGTTTTTCAAGAAAAAATTCAGACTATCGAAAATTTCTATGATAGAGTTTTCTTTATCGAACCTGAACTTGTAACTGCCATCAAAATATTGGTTGCACTATGCGATCCAAACGCCAACCATATGAAGAATAATGATCCTGACATGCAACTTAAATATAAACATGCTTTGGTCTCATGCTATTGCTTTGATTGTACTACCTATTTAATGACACTATTAGAAGCGGTAGTCGAAACATGTGAAAGACCATCACATCGTACATTTGCTAATACTTTCAGTGATTCATATATAAATTTGTTTGTGAAAAATTTAAAAATTAATCAAAGTAATCAGCCATCCCATCATCAACAGCACAAGACACATTCATTACAACAATTTAATAATTCTATCCTGAATCAAGGTTCACTAGTTATTGAATTTATTCGTCCAAGTGTAAGATTTTTGCAGCTGATTTTAAACTATTTAACCCAATCGTATGGCCATAATTTTAATGATTCAACTCCGATTCCAGTATTGCTAAAACTTTACAATATTTTGTCATATTTTTCATCTTATACGAATGATATAAAACTAGAATCCAATACAAAACAATCTGCTCAATTTATTCAGCAGCAAATAATCGACATAATCATATCAGTATATACGGCTGTTCATTTAGAACATTCTGAATCTGAAGAATCATTGCGAAAATCAGTATGGACAAAAATGTTGAAACATGTTTTTGAATTCATTTCACTTGCCCCGAAATATTTTGTTTCGGGCTTAGAAATATTGTCAAAAATACTACCCACACCATTGCCATTGATGATGAATAAAACGCTAAACGATGGTGACATATCGTTTATAATTAATTATCGTAAATTATGGTCAGCTCATCTTCATTGTTTAAATGATGATCTTGAAAATATGTTTAATTATCTAATATTATCAAATTGTTTGCCATTGCAAAAATTATTACGTGTGGTTTGTTATAAGATGTGCGATCTTTCTGCTCCAACCGTTTTGACCATTTCAAAAACTATTACCGAATTTCTCGTCCATACTCTGTGCGATATCATTGAATCGAAATCTCAATCGCCGATCGATGAATCATTGATTAAATATCATAGCGATAATTGTGGTAAAATTATCGATTTTATTCTGGATTTATTCAGTTCGAGCCTGTCATTTAGGATCGGAATCCTGAATGCCTTTTGTTGTTTTGCCACCAGTTCGGATGTGGCTCATAGAGATTCAAAATTTCTTAAGCTTTTCCATAGAATGTTTTTCTATCTCAATAGGAAAAAATTTGTAAGAAATTTTACCATTTCCAGCAAAGTCTTTGTTACGGTAAGTGTTTTATGTGCAAATTACTCTCAATAATAAGATTTATCTTTTACCCTAGGAAATCCTTTCCGATACAGAATCCCCAAATGATGATGATTTCCTATCATTATTCCGTTATTTTTTCGATACTGAAGACAATACTATTTTGACTTTGAAAACGTTCAAATTTTCCGATAAACTTTCATCGAAATTTTTCATGGCTTGCTCTCAATCTTTGAATAAATATTTTGCTGATCGAAAAGTTTATGTCATTGATAACAGACAGTCAGATAATCTAGAAGTCATCGATATAAGTAAGAAAGGACCGACAAACGAAGAAGATGAAATGGTTGATGGATGTAAATCTGTTCCATTGAATAATGAAATCATTTATGGTCATCAATTCAGTCAACTTTCAGTCGATTGTCGGATGCCTGAGCAATGGCAGTCACTAATTGAAAATCAAACGAATCACTTGTCAATTGCCGAATCAGGAATGAGAAAAATTGATTTCCTCGTTTTAGCTAAAAAATATCTGAAACTTGATTGCGACGGATTATTGAAAATTCTCAATAATTATCATTCACCGATTGTTGAATTACCTGAAGCACCCGAAAAATCTAGTGAAGATTCTGTAACAAAATTGATCGCAATTAATCCGCAACCAAAACGTACTACAATCAGAGGTCGTGTAAGACAATATGGACATCGTGGTGATCCCTTCCGATCGCGACCGCCAAACACATCGCGACCACCATCAATGCATGTTGATGATTTTGTAGCAATGGAACAACGATCAGACCCATTGGTGATTAGTAATAAGAATCGTTCGAACCATCTGATTTCACATCATAATTCGAATGTATTGCCAGCACATTCAAGCAACAGCAGTACAATATCATATTGTGGTAAACATTCAGATTATGTCCGTAAAAAAAATTTCAATAGCCATTCATCATCGCCCTATCATGCTAACTATTCGAATTCTATTAAAATGAATAATAATAACAATAATAATAATAATTAAAGTAATCGGGCAACTCTTCCAATCAAATTTTGGTCAATTCTACAACTTTTTCATTTGTATGATTGTATTTTTCATTAAAATATTATTTTGGTCTATCTTTGTATTTTCTCTATCTCATGAATTTTGTATCTATATTTTCAATCTTTTCTTTATGTGTTAAATAGCGATGTTTGGATACACACACAGACACACAAACACTTTATTTGTCTCCAAATGTTTATTTTTTATTTATTCTCAAGTATATAATGATGATATAACTCATTTTCAACTTTTCACACACACATAAACTTTCATTTCTTCATGGTTTTTTGTTTTTTTCGCATTCATCAATTTTATCGATTCCTCAACTTTGAAAAGAAATTTTTATTAAAAAATCATTTCATTTATAATTCTTTCGGTAGTTAATTTAGAAAAGTTAAGAATCGCCAAAAGGAATCTAATGAAAATCGATTCAAATTAAATCAAACATTCTAAATAAGTAAAAAAAATGGTACTGCCATTTTTTCTATGTATAAAGTTCGTAATCATATAAGGTTATCGATGATCATATTTGCCTGTGGGAATCTTAGAGATAAAAATAAATTTCTAACATAAATCAATCAACAATCAAACTTATCCGATACTGTGTGGTATGATTATCATTGTACAAATGTTTCAAACAAAATTGAAAAACAATTTTAAAATGCGCTTTTTGTTATTTAGAAATTCATACTGTTATGATTTTTTTGTTTCGTTGAATTGGTTTTTGTTTGATTTCCGCAATGCCGATATTTCTGTATGTGATTGATGGTGATCGGGCGGCATTTTTCTAGTATTTCGATTTTTTTGTTGTTGTTTTTTTTCTGGCGTTGATCATTGATCTCGATTAATATTTTCCAATTTGTGATTCTGTTTGTTTCGGATATCTTTTATTTTTCTTATTTTTTTTAAATAGAGATGGGAAAAAAATTTCACACAAACTTTAAGTATATATAGTTAGCGATAGACAACAAAATTGTGGCCAACAAATTGAAATTTATTGATTATTATTAGTTTCTTTTTTGTTCTTTTCTTATTTTATAATATGGAATCGCTTGTTAGTTTGTTGGCAATAAGGAATATTTATTGCAAAATGTGCAGAGATATATTGGTATAGATTTTGACAGTCGATATGTGAAACTGATGGGTGTGAAACAATCTTTCTAGAAAAAAACATTTGAAATTTTTTGTTTTTTCGCTTTTCTATCGTCTTGCTTGTCAATATATACAAATCGGACGAAACGATCTTATGTATTGTAGTTGATAGCCAACTCATCCGTTGTTTTTTTTCATCGATGGAAAATGAAAAATGAAAACAAATATCTATGGATGAATGAATGGCAAACAAAAAAAAAATAATAACAGAATAAAATCTATCTGGTCATGGAATTTTTTCTTTCTATTTCGGCTTTTTTTCATTCTAGTGTTTTTGATTTAGAATTGAATTTAAATCGTTCAAATTCCACCAACATTGGCTGGCTGGACGATCGACCGATCAATCTAGATTTTCGATGTTTATTTTTTTTCAAAGTATGGTGGGGTGGATGAAAAAAAAACATAACAGAAGAGAACAAGAATCAAAATGATATTGGTTAGCCAGTAAGCAGGCAATTTTTTATTCCATTATTAATGACATTTCCATTCTTTTATTTTTATTCCATTTTCCTATTTCGATATCTTTTTCACTATTTGTTTTCGGTATGCAAATTTCAATTCCTATTTTTTTTGTATGAGGGGTTTTTTCTCGTTTCGATCGTTTTGCCAATTTATTGTTATTAAAATTGCCATAATCTAATATCATGTAGAGAAAAGAAGAAAATATGGACATTCGATTCAATACAATCCAGTAGATTGTAAATCTAAATTGAATAAAAATGACCATTTTTTTCCGTTACACAAATCGTTGTTGTTGTATGCATATTATAAATAAAATAAATTGAAAAACCAACATAAAAACAAACCGAACGGGATAAACCCATTTGTATCTAGAAAAAAAATCCAATTTCTTGATTTACTTTTCAATTGTTTATATGGAGTTATATATTTCAAAATAATAATATGAACGACGACATTTTAAAAGATAAAAAATATCGATCTATCTAATGAAAAAGATGGATGTTTTGATCCAAAGAACCTGTTGCTATTACATATTCATCTAATTCAATTTAATGAATGAACAAAACTATAGTAAAAAAAATAATTTTTTAACAAACAAATCAAAAACTTCAATGTATATAACAATATAAAATCCAGTTGTATATTTAAATGCAAAATTGAAACTTTAATTCATTTTAAACTTTATCATTAAAATTATATTTTCTCAAGGAAATCCAGAGTAAGTTGGCAAAAAAAATCTAAAATCAACAATCGTTGGGTTTCGTTTCTGCGGCAATTTTTTTTACTCATTATTAATGCAAATTAAATTTCTTATTATTCTTTCATCAAGTATTTATAGCCATCATCATTGTCGAAAAACTAAAATCACCAGAAATTCATTGAAATTTTCATTTTAATGATGATGAGGAGGATGGTATCCAATGATTATTTACTTTGTCTATAAATGAGAGAGTAAAAGCAAAGTTTCAAATTTAGTAAAATTTTAAATTCACATTGCAACTAATTTTTCTTTTTTTTCCTGTTTGTTTGTACGCAATATTTGAACTATCTTCAATTATATTCTCATTTTCTTTACTGGATTTTAGGTAATCATTTTGATTGAATTTTTTTTTTCTTTAAATATTTAACAATTCTATTATGAATTCATTTCGATAATGAGCAATCATCATCTCAAATGATAAAGATGAGTTCAAAAGGAAATTTTTTCTTATCAACATATTGTTGTTGTAATATTATTGACGTCAACGAAAAAATCTAAGAATATTGAACTATAGAAAAAAAAAATAAATCTCATCAACCAAACTGATGACAACGACAACAATGCCACATCAACATCAACAAGAATGATTCAACAAAGACGATTCTGACGATCGACAACATCGACTATAAGAATGAATCATTTGAATTTATGTAAATTTTTCTTTTCCAACTATTCGAATTTATTAGGATATTTATTCCATTGAAAATTTTTCTACTTTTTTTTTTGTTCGATTTCGATCGATATTTTAACCAAAAAATTCGAAATGATGATAATGATGAAGAAATGAAAAAAAAATTTCAAGCAAAAAAAACAAAACTAATTTACATAAATTGTGTCGTTCGCGTAACTTTTTTTATTTTTATTTCTATTTTTTTTTGTTCTCCGTTCGGTCGGTCGAAAGGTCGATATATATTTGGCATGTAACGTTTTTTGTTGTTGTTGTTGTTGTTCTCATTTTTTCATCTATTCATTCGATAGAAATTATTATTATTCATTGAATTATGTTTACGCGCTTTCAACGAATGACGGCATCCGCTTCATATTTTCTCTTCCTTCTTTTATTATTATTATCTCGAATTTCTATTTTAAAAATTGACTTGTAAATTAAATAGAAATAGAAAAAACGAAGACGAACTATAGTTTTTCTAAAATTATATATCTTCCGTTGCGTAAATTAAATCCATAGAAGCCGAACTTATGAGCAACATTATTATTAATCTACATAAGTGCTATGTATATTACATACACACACACACACAGTTTGTGTGTAGGAAGGTTTCTTTTTTTCTTGTAATCTATAAATCCATATAAGATACCAAAATAAATGAATGAATCAAGACCCTATGAAACTAATTTACATTTGATTTTCACATTTTTTTCTGGTTTTCAATCGAATCCATCCATCTCGACTGGGTATATTTTGACTTCAATTTTATTATTATTATTCCCCATGCCAATGTTATATTATGTCATAATATGAATGTAGTCTATTAAATGATAACTATTTTCATTGAAAGTGTAAATAATAACTAATTTGCATTCATCATCATCATCATCATAATCATCGGAATTGAATCGAATTTGAAATGACATTTACATTTGACAACATATTGAACAAAATTAATTCAATATCTTCAATTGGAACAAATGAATCCAATTTCAACGTATGGATGTTATGATTGTTAATATAAATTTTGATTATTTATTCTTTTCATATACGGTCTTTTTTGTGTTGTTCGGTGACAATTCGATGAATTATTGATATTTCTACAATGATGATGATGATGAGGATGATGATAATGATGATGACAGCAGGCTATTTCACTGCGGTAGTCCATCCGTTATACCGTTTTATTTGATCGGTGGCAATAGAATAAGGGAAAAAAGTGTCGAATTTCTGTCAGAATATTGAAGAAACAAAACAAAAAAACAAGTGAATAAAAAAAGCCAACAAACACGACCATATTGCAAGAACAATGACAAGCCAAAAATCCAAAAAAAAACAAGAACAAGTTGATTTGATTTGATTTACCATTCGGTCATATATTTGTGTTCCATTTATTCCGATTCATTCGTTTTGATTTTGAGTAGAACCAGAAACAAACGGAAACACGGCAACGAATCATCATCATCATCATCAAACTGGTGTTTGACATCAGATTGATCCAAGTGCAATACAGTACAGTTCATGGAGGATGGTGTTTGTTGTTGTTTTTTATATATTCGATCATTGATCGAATGAAATCGGGAGCATCGACTTTTTGTTTTATTTCCGATCATTCATATTATCATTTAATATGTAGTATGGTGAATGTATGTTGTATTTAAATCATTTTTTTTTTGTTGGTAACTTGACATAGCCAGGAAAAGACATGTATTCATATATATAGCTAGTGAATGTATAGGAAATTCAAATTAGACAATTGTCTATCTGTAAATTCCTTTTGGGTATATGATGCTTACATCGTTGACAGATGTGTCACAGAAAAAATGAATGTTTGTGTATGTATTTCTGTAAAGTTTGTTAAAATCATTAGTCCATGTTTCAAAATGATTTATTGAATCATTGGTAAATAACTTTCAATATTTGAAAAGTTTGAAACATCATCAATTTTGAACAATCGAACAGTTCATATTACAATGATAAATGTTGAATAAATATGATTAAAAATAAGATAAAAGTGATTTACTTAGAAATTTCAATTGTTATTCAAACTATCATTAGTTTCAAAAAAATCTTTCATATTTTTATCATTAAT